TCAGGCCAAAGGAATGTGAAAACCCTTTAATCTCAAAACAAAACATCAGATGCACTTGTGCAGCCTATTTCACTTCCAGATCCTCGGCCTGGGTCACGGTCCTCCCCACACGCACTCGCACACACTCACACACACTCACACACTCACACACTCACACACTCATGTAGACGTGTTTTTGTTTTTAAAGAGTAAACAGAGTTCTGTGCAAAAGTCAGAGACCCTTCATTTTAAGTACAACTTTCTAATTTTTCAGTTTTGGGATAAAAATGTAAAACATATTCAACAGAAAATTACATAGAAATGTCAACAACTAAATGTGTCACTTTTTCAGTGTTCAGTGTTTCCACCTTTTTGCCTTTATTAACACTTTCATTCTTTTCAAGATAATCGCTTTAAATTTTTCGGAATATTATTCCACACCTTCGAAGTTCAGTCTTAGTAGTTGGTTGCGTTTTCTGCTTCTCATGATCTCAAACACATGCAGTGATGTTGAGGTCTGGACTGTGGGGTGGTCAGTCCGTTGTTCTGAGAACACCAGCAGTTTCTTTGTTTGACTTGCACATTTTCTCATTCTTTGTCTTTTTTGTTTCCTTCTCTCAGTAATGATTTCTTGACCGCTGCACGTCCTTTCAGACTCTCAGCGCTGGGTCGTCTTCTCACATTGAAAAAATGGACCTAAGCACCTGTGGATGTTTTCAGATCTGAAGCAGTTGTTTTTCTCCTGTTTCTCAATGATGAAAGCTTTAAGTGCTGTTTATCTGATGGGGGCAGTTCTGGTGGTCAGCCAGGATCTTGAACATTTTCTCTGTATCTTTTAAACATTTTTTTAACTCATTTGATTTTCCTCTTTCTTATGCAAGTGGATTATCTTATGCCTAATGTCTTCAGAAATACCTTCTGAAAAACGAATAACTCGTTTAATAATAAAAATAATAATCATAAGTTTTCTGTATTTTACAGATGGTGTTCAGAAGGTCAGTATCTGCAGATCTAAGATCACGTTGGAACATAAACAGACAGAATAACATATTTACATATATTTAATGGCCATTTTAGCTGGAAATACACGAAGGGTCTGTGACGTCTGCGCAGTACTGTATATTCTTATCAGCAAATATTAAACATATTAAATAATTATGCCCAGAAAGGTTAGACAGATATATCCATACAGAGCCTCAGCAGTACTGTAACTGAATATGGTCCATCAGGAGCTTCTTTGAATTAGAACTGGACAGTCGAGTGTATTTATAAAGCACATTGATAAACAAGAAGTGCTGGCCAAAGTGACACACAACAGACAAATTAATTAAGAAATCAATAAAGGTTGAGTCAATAAAATGATGATTCAGTGAAATAAGAATAAATGAATAAATAAATAAATTAATAAATAAGAATAAAAGCGCCAATAATTTAGAGCAATAATTCGCTGATGTTGAAAGAAAACCTCGTATCTCCCTTTTTGACGTTTTTCGGTTTTTTACATAATTTGAAAAGACCTGTTGCTCTTTACATTGTGTGTAAATTTCATGATGAATGGACTAAAAGAAACAACCCAAAATGACTTGGAGAAATGTCTGGTTCCATTGACTTACATTAAAAGTAAAGTAGGTTTTTTCCTTCTCCTGTAAAGTTACCAAAAATAAATAAATAAATAAAATTGAAAAATAAAATTAAATAAGAACATTTCAAGAACAAATTGTTTTAATTATAAAAATGCTCAGAAATAAAAAAGTTAAGTGTATTAAGCTAACAGTTTTTCTTGAGGAGAGAGTCAGTAGTGGGGGCTGTGCTGATATTCAGAGATAAGCAGTCGGATTAATTGTTTATCTAATGGAAACACCTTGATGGTTTAATGTAAAATCTCTTGGGAATGGCTTTGTAATTCCCAGTTTTGCTTATTTCCAGGATGTATCAGCTCCGTGTGAGTAGAACGGGGGAGCTCGGCTTAGCTGGGGGGTCTTGGTGTGCGGAGGGTTAGAGTGTTTCTGTTTACATGCCTGTGTGTGGGGGGGTGGGCACTGCATGTTAAACGGGGCTATCTGAAGCATGACGGATTGGATGTGTGTCCGTGAGTGTACGTGTGCATGTGTGTGATGAAGAGGCATGACAATGGGGCAGGGCTCCCTGGCGGGGCTGAAAGAGAGGAGTGTCACCCCCCTGCATCCCCCCCGCCGGGTGACGGCCACAGTGCTGCACCACAGCTGTCAGTTCCTCTGTTTCATATACATTCATACAGGTTGACGCTCATGGATGACTGTACAGCCGCCTGTGTGCTGCCGCGTTTAAGATGCCGAGTGTGAGCTTGTGTGGCCAGCAGTGGGCAGCTGGACTGAGGCCATTTCTTTGCACCATTAATTTTAGCAAAGTGACAGTAAGTTTAGGCTTCATTGTAACAGTGGGTTTTCAGATATTCATGAACTGAATTAGTGATGCACACTTGGTGATGTTTAAGTGTAGAAGCTAGTGCTTGTTGAAGTCCTGTGCCTGTAGCCTGAACCGTTCGGCACTGCCGAAGGCTGTTTGTCTTCCTTTGTTGTCTGTAAGATTACAGAAGCCCTTATCCTGTTTCATAACACTGGCATACGTGCACACACACGTATGTCAGAACCTGCATGTACACACAAGCACACAGAGTTTCTCCGAAGCTCCTCAAGCACTGAAACACACACCGATCAGGCATAACACTATGACCACCTCCTTGTTTCTACGCTCATTGTCCATTTTATCAGCTCCACTTACTACATAGGTGCACTTTGTAGCTCTACAGTTACAGACTGTAGTCCATCTGTTTCTCTGCATACTTTGTTAGCCCCCTTTTACCCTGTTCTTCAGTGGTCAGGACCCCCATGGACCCTCACAGAGCAGGTGATTTGGGTGGTGGATCATTCTCAGCACTGCAGTAACACTGACGTGGTGGTGGTGTGTTAGTGTGTGTTGCGCTGGTATGAATGGATCAGACACAGCAGTGCTGCTGGAGTTTTTAAACACTGTGTCCACTCACTGTCCACTCTATTAGACACTCCTACCTTGTCAGTCCACCTTGTAGATGTGAAGTCAGAGACGATAGCTCATCTGCTGCTGCACAGTTTGTGTCGGTCATCCTCTAGTCCTTCATCAGTGGTCACAGGACGCTGCCCACAGGACGCTGTTGACTGGACTTTTGGTTGGTGGGCTATGCTCAGTCCAGCAGTGACTCTGAGGTGTTTAAAAAACAAGGAGGTGGTCATAAACTGTGACTCATGAGGAGAAAACGGTGTTGCGTAATGAAGTGATAAAACCTAATTCAGTGACTTTTGGAGTCGTATCCAAGTACGACTGTCACGATTATTACATGATCGCTTTAATCACAGTTATTTGGGAGGATCACAATTACTTAAGCTGACTGCCTTCTTTTTCCCACAGTCATTAGAGTTCACAGACATATTGCGCTGGAACAAGTAGAAAGTCGCTGTTGTTGGAACAAAACCTTGTACCTCAATTTTTGTTGATTTTCAGTTTTTGACCTAATTTGAAAATGTCTGTTGTTCTTTACATTGTGTGTAAATTTCATGATGAACGGACCAAAAGAAACAACCTAAAATATCTTGGAAAAAAGTCTGGTTCCATTGACTTACATTAACAGTAAAGTAAGTTTTTTCCTTCTCCTGTAAAGTTACCATTTTGAAGATGCGAGGTTCAGTTCCGACAGCAGCGACGTGTTTTGGGTGTGTTAGTTTGAGAACCTTCTAACTTGGTGTTAACACACATTTAAGGACGTCACAAGTAAGGTTGGTTTGTTAGCTTTGTAGCTAATTTTAATGTGTTTTGTAGCTTTTATTTTCACTCTAGATTATATCGCCTTATGATATTAGCGGAGTCACTTCGGGATTCTGCTATAGATGCCTTAGGAAAACCATGCAGTATATATTTTGTAAGTTATGTAAGCAGTGGGACACCGAAGCTGTAGGTAAAATGTCGCTAATTTTTCTCCGACACTAAATCACGACTCTTAAGGCTCCATAATAACCCAATGCATTAACAATGTGATTGAAGCACCATGTGTACAGATTATTTAGGAGGCAGGTTAAGGGGAAATTAGTCCTCTGTAGTTTGTTATGAGTTCTTTTTCCCCCAACATGGTGATTATCGCTGTTAAGCATCATCATCAGCGATATCCAGTTACATCGCCCCATCGCCAGGCCTCAGACTTAGTAAATGGCTGAGTGATTCTTTAAAAGCATTCTTCTTTCTTGTTTTGCAGTTCGGAAAGTGTTTCATATCTGGGGGAGGGTCTATAATACATGCACTAGGAGACCAAATACAGCATGTAGCAGCAATCAGAAATCTTTTTTTTTAACCCAAGGCGACATTTGCCTGGAAAAACACAGAGATGTATATCCAGACGGAGCTAAAAATGATCAGAGCAGTGCTGTGATTGGTGAAAAACAGTGGGTAATTCAGTTAGAAAAACACCAACATTATTCGGAAAGCAGTAAAATCACCTGTAAAGAGAAAACTACCCCATATAGATTCAATCCTGTCCACATAGAGCTTATAAAAACCAATGAAACTAAAAACTGAAAGTTGACATCAAAAACACAAATTTTCATGACTTTTATAAACAGAAACACTAACTAACCATTTCATGCACACATATTCCAGTAGATCTACCAGGTTTGAAACAACTGCCCAATCACAAGTCTGTAAGCTGCAGAGGGTAAACAAATAGAACATGGCTTTTTAGGCGATTTTATTTAGCAAAATAATTGATTTGATTCTTTATACAAACACTGTATGTGTGAATGGCCAGTGCGTGCAAGCTGTGGCAGTCAGGCTGCAGTATCACTCATGTCATGCACAGGTAGGATGTGTGATATAGGCCTAGAAACTACCCAGTTTACCACCAGTTCTGTAGCTGCATGCTAGCAAAATTTTAAAAAATGGTGACAAGGAACTTCATTATGTGATATACTGTGGATGCTGGATTAGCTCTAACCTTTCCCTGTCTTTTTTTCCTGCAGAGCAAACAAAATGAGCAGTACTAGTACCTACTCAGCCCCACCCACGGAGGTTGGGACTGGGTGAGACAGAGAAAACGGTGCCATTTCTTCTGGAAGACAAGATCAGAATAATAAGAAGGGTAAGTGCTGCCATGTTAGACGCTGAACAGTGGCTGTTCTTTCTGTCAGTAACTTGTAAAACGTATATATTTTGAAAAATGATGCTGTGAAATTTGCTGAAAGAAGAACTACAGCTGTCTTCATTTTGTCCACTGTAGATCTGAGAAACGAGAAAGTGTATAAGCCCCTCCCTCCCTGCACACACGCCCTCTTAAACCCCACCCCCAGGCGGAATCCGAGCAGGGCCTGGAAGGCAGGGCAGCCACGGCCGAGTTTCAATGGCAGCGGCACCCTAGGGCTGCCATGGCAGCGGCTGCCACCGATGCCCACCGTCACATTACCGCACTGACGCCGGAGGACGAGGATCGACGAGCCACCGTCAAATTGTTTGGAGGTCCAGCTCAAGTGAGGACGGAGAGAGAGAGAGAGCACGAGATAGAGAGGGAGAGGGAGAAGGAGGAGAGAGCAAGCGGGAACGAGTGTTTGGTGTGTGGCGCCCTCTTCAGCTCACAGGAGAAGCTCCGACTCCACACCTTCTGTCACGCGGGAGAGAAACCTTTCCACTGTTCCCAGCCTCACTGCCCCAAGGCCTTCAGCTCCAAATATAAGCTCTACAGGTAGGTCTTCACTTAATACTCTGCTTCCAAGCCAAAAAGGGGTTCAACAGAGGTCTCTGATTAGATGAGTCAAAGTCCATGTTTGTAAAAGTTTCCTCACAAGTGGGTCTGTGGTGAGTTAACCAAGTTAAAAGCCCCCAGTGACAATAAACCTCATTTATCACCTGTTTAAAAAATATTATTCATGTATTGATTAATTTTATGCAAACCATAGCAAGACACTAGTATTCCCACAGTTAAACACAACTGGACTTGTTGAGAGATCTGATATCATACCTTCATACCACTTTTATTGTACCTAACATTGATGACATTGTTCGAGAAACGTGGCTGTTGAGCTGCACTGGTTGAGCATGATTGGTGCTGCAGGCAGATGACACGCCTGTTGGTATGGTACACGTTTTAGAACATGCTAAGGCCGCCAGGTTTCATACGTCAGACAAAATATCTTGGAGGAAAAACACTGTCATGTTGCAGCTTCTAAGAGCTAAGCGGCTACAGGCACCATGGCTTGGACAACAAGGATTTAGCTTTAATTCACAGGCTGTCACTTTCTTTGCTCTTGAATTCACTTCAGAGTAAACGGTCGTCTAAAATTCCCTTGAAGAAAATGTGTTGCTATTACTAGTATTATTATTAGTAGTAATAATATTATTATTATTATTATTAAAATGTATGTATGTATTATTATCTATACGTATATCTATATGAGCTGATTCTTCTAAACACATCATAAGTGATGTTCTTGGAAGCATCAGCAGATGTACATTCAGAACTCTTGTCTTTTACCACAGTAGCCACATTAACATGCAGCCTAATAATCCGTTAATAATCAGACTAATATCTCAATCGGAATACAATATGTCCATGTAAACACCTCAATCAGAATAGACTAGTCTGATTGAGGCCATTCAGAATATAATTTCTGTCCGACTGATCGAGGTGGGTAATCCTGTAAATAATCAGTTAAAAAGAAGAATAATATCCGTGTAAACGCCTGTATCTGATTACATTCCCTGTCGGAAAGTTTAAGTCCGTTCTGATCATGTTCGTCACATCATAATGAAAGTTTATACCGTTCAACATGGCGGAGCAGAAACTGGTCTGCAAAGGAGACGAAGTTTATGCTCTGATCTTTAAAAGACGGCGGTGGGACGGACGTCCAGCTTATGTGTCTCAGAACACGACGTCTTCCTCTCGGCCTTCTTTAATAAGGACATGTGAAGGACGTTTTCCTGAGTCTGACATCATTTTAAAGCAGTTAAAAACACAAGCGCTGCTCACTGCTGCTCATCTCACTCTGACTGGACTCACGTGATGCTCGCTGTCATGGTGACGTCTACACTAAATGGGTCTCTACACATGCGCATCATTTTGGATCGGATTACTTGTAGTGAGCATGTAAACGGAGGTTTTCCATCAGATTGCTGAGTGAGCACAAACACCTCAGTCTTAATTTATAATCAGAATGTATTTAGTCAGATTGGCAAAATGTAAACACAGCCAGTTATTGTTCACATTGTTAATCCGAATAAACGGATCTGTTACTGACACAAGGAAGGGCAGCGTGTGGGTCTTGTTGCTTTTGCTTGAGGGATACTGTATCAAGAGCTCTTGGCAAAGTCTTGCTGGTGACTTCAGAATATCAGAATAAATTAATAGTGTTGAGTGCAGATCTGAAAATAGTGTATACAATTTAGCTTGGGGATGTAGTCCCAAACATGGAAACAAAACATTAACTGCAGACCTGTAAAAATGTTTTTGTTTTTGACAAAATTTTACATAATAACCGAGGCTTTAGTTAGAATCTCCATTATGCTTTTTTTCCCCACTTATTTCCTAAATTTCTTGTGTGTGCAAACACTAAAAACCAACACCAATAAAGCCTGATTCCAGTTATTGTTAATAATAAAAATCTATCTCTACCCCATCTGCAGGCATATGGCCACACACTCACCGCAGAAGACCCATCAGTGCTCATTCTGTGAAAAGATGTTTCACCGTAAAGATCATCTGAAGAACCATCTACAGACCCACGACCCCAACAAAGAGGCCTTTAAGTGTGAGGAGTGTGGCAAGCACTATAACACAAAGCTAGGGTACAAGCGCCACATAGCCATGCACTCTGCCACAGCAGGCGATCTGACCTGCAAGGTCTGCCTGCAGAGCTACGAGAGCACCCCTGCCCTCTTGGAACACCTCAAGAGCCACTCGGGCAAATCTTCGGGTGGTGCCAAGGAGAAGAAACACCCATGCGACCACTGTGATCGACGCTTCTACACCCGCAAGGACGTTCGCCGGCATATGGTGGTTCACACGGGCCGCAAAGATTTCTTGTGCCAGTACTGCGCCCAGCGCTTTGGTAGAAAGGACCACCTCACGCGACACGTCAAGAAGAGCCACTCGCAGGAGTTGCTGAAGATCAAGACAGAACCACCGGATATGCTGGGCTTGCTCGGATCTGGTTCTCCGCCTTGTGCCGTGAAGGAAGAGCTCAGTCCTATGATGTGTAGCATGGGCCCAAACAAGGACTCCATGGTGGCCAAGCCTTTCCGCAGTGGCACCCCTTTTCCCATGGGCATGTACAACCCTCACCACCTGCCGGCCATGTCCAACCCAGGAATGGGCCACCATCACTCCTTGGTTCCTGGATCGCTGTCTGCTGCTATGGGCATGGGTTGTCCCATGGAGCCTCCTTCAACTCTGCACCACCACCATTCGCATCACCACCACCACCACCACCATCCACACCATCACCACCCATCCCCACCGCCGCCACACCAGCAACAGCCCACCTTACAGCCCCAGCCCCCGCAGCAACAGCACCCCCAGCTGCCGCCCAAGTACCAGCTTGGATCTACCTCATACTTGCTGGAGAAGCCCCTGAAGGTGGAGATGGAGAGCTTCCTGATGGATCTGCAGAGTGGCTTGCCAGTTCCGCCGCCGCCCTCCGCCGACCCCCATTCAGCTGCCTCGCCGAACAAGGATGGTCTGGAGCCTCCGCCCGGCCTGACGGACGAGCTGTGCGGGGACCCCCTCCTGTCTAAGAGCCCCGCCGTCATCGCCGAATCCCTGTGTGCTGCTAACATGGACTTCTCTCATCTGCTGGGCTTCTTTCCGCTCAACCTGCCCCCCTACAGCGCCCCCATGAGTTCGGGAGGTCTGGTGATGGGCTACTCCACCACCTCCACCGCCTCCTCTTCTTCCTCGTCATCGTCGGTGTCTTCGCACGCCACCGAGCCGCACGCTGCCACAGCGACAGCCGCAGTGCCTCTTACCTCTTTGCAACCTCAACCTCAGGAGCAGCCAGGCTCCGGCGGGGGTCTCGGACCCCTGCACCCACTTCCGCCAGTGTTTAGCTCCAGCCTCAGCACGACCACCCTGCCTCGCTTCCACCAGGCCTTTCAATGAGGCTCCCACCCCACCCTGGCCCGCTGCAGGCCCGGTCACCTTAGGCGGCTCAGGGCAGAGGAGCTTTAGAGGCTCCCCCTAGGGGTGGGGCGATTTACACTTGAACACATAGAAGCCTTAATTGAAGCGCACAAAAGCTTTCGAATGAGCCTGGAGGAAATCATTTATTTCTGCAAAGGAAGAAAAGCATAGGAAATGAGAAAACCACGGAGCTTTTATTTAGGCTTTCTGTCTGTATTTTAGGTAAACCTCGCCCTCATACCTTTTCTCACCCTTTTCTAGTTAGGAGGCAGCATCAGCAGGCCTTAAGGCGTGGTACTGCATACTTTATAAAGTAATAATATGAGTAGGAAAAAGGCAAAAATTAATGTAGAAAAAGTAATTTGTCTTTTAAGACTAGAAAGAATAGTTTGAAGTGAGTAAGTTTTGCTCTTCCAAATGTGAGACCTAACTTGCTATATTGTCTCTATTCTATTAAGCGTAAAAAGTCAGGTAACATTCGTTTGCCCTTAAACTAAAACCGTCTTTGCTGCCAGGAGTGGGAAAAAAATTAGTGAAGGAATGAAGTTGTGATATTGAATAATTCTCATGGCCAAATAGTATAAATAGTATAAAAAATTAGGTGATTAATTACATAAAAATCTAAATTCTAGGTGCATCAAAGGCACAGTTATTGTTTTCAGTGTTTTACATACTACTTCTTCCGGAAGTATAACTCCGCTGTAAGGATAAAAACCCTGCATCTCCATTTATGTTCCGTTCTGAACTCATGATTTGAAAGATTTTTCTTCCTCCTGTAAAGTTATTCCTGTAAAACAAGGCTTTGCTCCAACAACGATGCTGAGCAGGTTGCCCCTGTAGATGCTTTAAAACAAGAAAAGCCTAGTTTCAGCTCCTAAGTTGAAAGGTATGGAATAAAAATGCACATTGATTTGTGCTGGAGCAAGATGTAGGCAAGGTGTGAGAGAAAGAAAGAAGGAAAAGAAAGGAAGTAAGAAAGTAAGGAGGCAAATAAACTGCACAGTTTGATCCTGCTTTAATACACTGTGACCATTATCAAAACTAAGAGTGGACGATAATATAAAAAAAACCTCGCAGGTTTACAACAAGACTCGAAAGAAGCACTTTGTTTACAGCTGAAGGCACTTGACCTCTTCAGGTTACCATGGTGACCTGCTGACCCACCTCTAACCCCTACCTCCCCGCCCCCCCAAGTCCGTTTACCCTTCCTTCTAGCCAAGCTTCTTAAACAGAGACGGCCATACATAAACCCAAAAAAGAAAATTGAACGTCACAAAAAATCCGAAATGGTCCTTAGTACTTAAATTCTTAAAGCCCTTCGGGATGGTTTCCTTCCTTCCAGCACTAATTTTATCTCCGTGGCGACACTTTCTTACCTCCAGTTCCTGCCCACCTCATTCTAATATATTTTATTAGACTCAAATATTTTAGGCAGGACTTTTTTTTTTGTTTTCTTGAACGTTGAGAGATACATGGTAATAAGCACCCTGACATATGTGAATAGAAAAAACAAGAAATGACAACATAGAAAAAAAAAAAAAGAGTATTTTTTGCAGTGTACGAAATACCACATCAGAAATATATATTATAATTGCTTTTATTTTAGTAAAGTGTAATTTAGATAGATATATTAAAAATTGCTGATGGATTTTTTTTTTTAATGTCTGGCAGGTTTACATAATCGTGTAACCTTGATACATGGATGAAGTAATTGCTTTTCCCTATAGCTTTTTCCCCTGTCCTATTCGTTTTATACATTTTCCTGCACGCGAGTCAAAGACGATGGTGTTTTGACCCACGTATGATAGGCTATTAGTAGAATTAAGTAGAACGAACTTACCCTATCTTTAATCTTTAGAGTGTTGTGTAGAGAGGCCCATAATGTGACCCAAGTTTGATCTGAATTCTTCGCTTTCAGTATTGGAAACAGACCTGACTGACGTCTTTGGTGTTGCCTCATGGTATTACTTTTTTAAAAGGCTCTCTTCCGCAAAAATGTTTGTTTTTTATTTTTATTTACAGTTTGTTTCCCGAGAGAGCGCACCAGCTTAAATCACCAAGTTCACGAAAAATGCAGAATCCCAATCACCGCACTACAAGACGTAGTGTCTTTATTTCCATAAAGTAGATGGCAGAAATTATGTACAGTCTGATTAAGGGTCGTATCACATTTTCTTACATAGTCCCTACAAACGAAAGTCTGCACAAATCCACACCAAATAACTGTCCACTACACGAAGAGCTATGATAGAAATTGTACAGGGAGATTCACTCGAAAGAGGCCCCGAATATTCTGTTGTAGCTCCTGTTAGGATGAAGCAACCTGAACCAACAAAATACGCTACATACCTTGACGTATGTGTGATCGATTGCATTACATGCGATGCTGGAAGTGATCTCCGTTTTCTGCCAGACACACGAAGGGGTACGGGGGTATGCACCCAAGGGTTGCAAACAGAGGTTAAATGGAGGTTAAACGTTGCGACGGCTGTCTGGCGCCTACCTCATCGCTCCGACGCAGGAGCATCCCAGCTTGTTCAAAGCTCCATATACAGGGTGTCCCAAAAAAATTGACCTCATTTGAGATGTGAATATCTGAGTAACTACATGTCCTGGCAAACTAAATTAAATAGGCTTCATGTTGAACAATACAAGATTTATTTATCAAAATTCGAACAAGAAATTCAGAGGGATGTAGATTTTATAACTGATTTCACAGCTTCACAAATGTAATATCTTCTGATACTGGTGGTCATCCAGATCCCTTCGCCACAGACAGCCTTCCTCTTTGAATTTTTTGTGCCGTGTCCAAATCTGCTTTCCAGTTGGTGCATTTTTATTGAATTTTCTCAAAAATGCTCGCTGCACACTCGTTTGACTGTGTTCGAGCAGATTCTAACACACAAAATGCCTTTCATTTCTAGTGAACGCCGTTCTTCAACCTGGAAAAAAACATTAAAAATTAAACTTGATTAGTTTTTACACATTTTGTTAAAATTTGAGATCATTTGAGGGAGAATTGGTTGTTATTAGATGACGAAATGTCAATTTTTTTGGGACACCTGTATTGAGGAGCACATTACACATCATTTCATTCAGATTGCTTCGTCCTAGCGAGAGTTATTACAGAATATTCGGGGCCTCTTTCAAGTGAACCTCCCTGTATTTCCGGTGCAAACAAATCCATTTTCCACCCCCTTCAGGTTCATTGCTGGGGCATCTTTGTCAGATTTTCCATCCCCATCCAACGTTCATAAACGTGAAGTGCATACAAATAGTAAAAGTAGTGAAAAGATGTTACCTTAACGAGGCCAAATAGAAATAAAAGAAGGAAAAAAAGCTGAAAAACATTACGAGACCACCCGCAAAACTTAAAATAAAAAAAAAGAAAAACAAACAAAAAAAAAGTTACTATGCTGCTTTAGTGCTATGGTTGGCGACAGTCATAGACCACTCTATAGAAATACTTCTGCAAAGATGTTTAAACTGAAAACATGCACAGTAGTTACACACGAACTGTTTGTCCATTTCTGTCTAGTTCTCCTTACACGGCTGCTTCTTCCATTCAAATGAACATTTCTCTTTTTCTTTTTTTTTTTTCTTTTTTTTATTGAAAGGGTCTGATAAGAGACACAATATCCAGAACAAATAAGTCACCAGCCTGGTCTTTGACATTCAAAGCATGGGACGTTTGATTGGGATATTGCCTAGTCGTTTGTTGTCATATGATATATTATTTTCTGTTTGTTGAAACAGGACCTCAAAACAACACAACGCATCACCTCATTTATTTTTATTTTTTGTGTGTTTTTGTTTTGTTTTTTTGTTTTGTTTTTTTTCATACCAAAAACCTGGGGAGAAGAAACTTTCTTGGCACAATTGCTAACTAAAGAGTTCCTTACAAATACTGTAAGAAAAATTTGTTAGGCTTGGACTGAAGACGAGAAGGAAGCCAAATATGTCGTTTTAAAGCAGTTTCTCTTCATATTTGGATTGGGTGATACTGAAGGGTTGGATTACCAACATTTGGAGTCCAGAAAGAGTTTATTCCCCAATTTTATTTGTCCGAGGAAGAAAAAAAATGATTTGATAGGCACTTTGAAGCTGAAATGTTTTCCCCTAAAACAAATAGTAAACGAAAAATTTGATGACAGATAATCCTTAGTAGGAATAAACTGCATAAGCATTTTATCTTTGTTTAACTAAAAGTCATAGCGCTAAGCAAAGCTGAGCATTTTTCTAGGGGGGAAAAATAAAAGAATAATTTATTTCTCTAATAAAAATGATGAAATATAAAAGCTATTGGCAACTTCTGAGTTTTTCCTCCCCGGGTTTTCTGAGCTGATCTGAATTCTAGCACTTTTAAACCTTTGAAAAGAGTATTATTTCAGCCTTGTATGTTTGTATGTTGTTGTATTTGATCATGTACATGTATGTGCCATTAGTTTGATGTGTAGAATTAATCTTTATGTATTTTATTTCTCCTCTTCCAAAAGAGTTAACAGTATTTTTTTTTAAAATAGGTTTTCACTAATATTTTCCGCTTCGCCCTCTGCCCCAGCTCTTTCGCTTCCACTTTTCGGGACTTTCAGAAATAGAAGAGTAGAAAAAATAGAGTAAAAAATATGCTCGAGCTTAGCTTATCTTTGAAACCTTTGTTTAAGAAAGTCGGTCCAACATAATCTGAAGGAAGACAAAAAAAGAAAACTGGCTGGAAACTGCAAACAAAAGAAGAAAAAAGTGGGAGAAAAAAAACAAAGAAAGAAAGAAAAACTCCAGCTCCGGCAACGACTGAAGTGTTTTCAATCAACAGCATATTACAGAGCTTGACAGGTTCGACTGGTTTACTGGAAAGAGTCCCCCGCACCTCCCAACCCCCCCTCTTCGAAATAACTTTTGGTTTAAATTATGTTTTATATAATAACTGCCTGGATGGGTGGAGCTGGGTGTCTGGCGTGTTTGCAGAAATGGTGATGGGTAGTTGAGTTTTTCCGGCAGGCAGGCTAAGCTGGATGCAGCAGAGCCGCGCAGCGCTCGTATCTCATTTCACGTCCAGGACCCCATTGTGCTGTGGACTGAGGGGAGACTTCAAAAGGTGAGGGCTTTTCCAGCCTGATATCAGTCTTGCTCCAGTGCCCTTATAAAGGAGAGCCTCCCTCCCATTGAGAACTTTCAGCCGACATCAAAGTGGACTCCTTAAAAAAACTGAAGGACCTCCTCTTCAAGTCACCTGCGACGCTCCAGAGTCTGTTGGAAGACGGAGGAGAGAAAAAAAAACAAAAAAAGGCCGAAGGGAAATTTGTTTGATCTCCAATTTGACACCCTCTCCACCCTCACCTGCCGTCGAACCGCATCCAGCTCAGCGTCCCTTTATAATTGAGCAAAAAACCCCATTGTACCTACTAGGGAAGCACTTATCTTTTATTTCTCCCAATAGGAGTAGGTGCCTAACTAAGCTTTTAAGGGAAATTATTAAAGATAACTGATTTAAGATTAAAAAAAAAAAAAGAACAATCTGAAAAAGTAAAAATGAAATTCTTTCCTCGCTTTATAGAGAGAAAACGGGTGCCGTCTACGCGAGACGGCATCTGCTCGTAGTTTCGTTTATTTTAGCTTAACGTAAGTCTTGCATTCCAAGCTCTTTATGTATTCTTGTTTAGCAACATAGTCCTTTTATTTTTAAGTACTTGCTTATTACTGCCACCTCTGGCAAAAAAGGTGAAAACAAACAAAAATGGAATATTTTCATTCAGCCTTACACTATTTTATATAGCATGGAAGTTTATCATCTACAGGGAGAATTGTATAAAAAATAAAAAAAAAAAATGTGACAACAGTCCACTTTTTATTACATGACTCACCTACAATCAGTTGCTGCAATGTAAAGTGACAGATATGTATATTGGTTGATCCAAAGAGATGACATTACAACAAACCTATTTACTTATTGTACAGTACATTGTACCTTTTGACTTGTAATGTATGATGTTAAAATCATTAAAAGACAAACCCACGGTTTTATATCTGTCCCTCTGCCCTTTCTTTCTCTCTCCCCCCCCCCACACTTTGGGGTGATTTCCTGCAGGCTGTGGTGGGAGAGGGTGCTAGAATAAGCCAGACTAGGTTATGGCTGAAAACTGCCATTCGCATACCATACAGCCAAGGCAGGAAACCACACCACTGCGCGCAAACGAAATGATGAAGAAGGGGAGGGATGAAGGCAAGTTTCCAAGTGATAAAAAAGCAGCACTTGGCTTCAAGGCAGCCCTAATTATACCGCCCTACCTCAAACCTATACTTACAGGTCCCGGGGAGCCGTTTTAGCCCAGCAATTCTCACAAATACACTAACTGGAATACACCGCCGCTTCTCACATGTAAAAAAGCAGTTCGAATTTGGAGGAATTTGAGGTTTTACAGTCTTTCTCTGTACACCAGCAACGGTTTCAGGCTCCAGCCTCAGCCACCGCCAACGACCAAGTCGAACAGTTTCTCAAAGTCATTCTGCAAATCCTCAGATTTACATTTACAAGCAAGCATGGGCCTCAAGACGGACAAGCGTTTCGTATCTCAACTTGTCGGCACTTTTATTCGTTTCATACATCGTAGAACTTGACATTCGTTTGAGGAAGGAGGGTCATAAAGATCCATTAAAAAATAAACATGCTTTCGACTAAAAACAAGGACATGGTCGGTACATACAGAGCTCCACAAAAAGCCAGAACGCAACGATACAAAGCCGGTGTATTTGCATCCACTGTAGACAGGCGTTCACGGTTGACACGCTCGACAGGCGAGAGAAAAGTATTTAGAAAATAGATTTTTTTTTATATAGTCCTTGCGTTCAGTCACAGATAAATCATCTCTAGGAAACTTCTAATAATGCCAGAACAGATAGAAGATAGAAGGGTGCTGAGAATGCTTAGATGGGGCATGTATGAAAGGAATACTGCAGCGTTTTGTGTCTTTAACTGCTGCATCTGGAGCTTCTTACCACGTTCAGTCACTTTAATGAATTTCCATGTCCTCAAAATTGAGCAAATAAACAGAAAACTTGATGAATCAAAAGACACTTATGATAGAAACCAATGGGCTGAATAAAGCTGGAGTATTTCTTTGAGAGTGGAAAGAAAAATATAAATGGAAAATGGGGGATTATATCCACCACTACTACTTGTACCCCATTGTCATTAGGCAATACTAGTGGTGGACCTATAGGTGTCAGTTGCCCTTCTCAAAGTAGAGAAAAAATGTCCATAACATTCATCTCTGGGTTCTACAGAAAGGTCCACCAATCCTCAGGCCAAACGATCAGGAGGAAATGGAGGCCAGTATCAAAACAAAAAAAAAAGCTGCAAAGCAGAATGAGTGGTTGACATTTTCAGACAGTAAACATGGGGCCGTTCACCTCCTCGAGGAGAGTGAACTGAAGTTTAATCACAATCACAAAGAAAATCAATAAACCAACACAAGTAGTTTACAATAATGCAGCTTCACCAACCTCAAACACCAAGTATACAAGAAAAAATTTTAAACTGCTACCTCTTGACTCCTAACAGCTTTCCTGCACTTGTGCAGATGCTTCGTTTTGTAGTGGGGGGGGCTTTCCCTGGACCACCATGGTTTATGCCCTGCCTGTGTCATGCATTGCTGTAACAACACACCAAACAAGGAAACCGTCAGAGACGACTGAAAAGCTGTAGAATCTTAAAAGTGATTCTCCAGATCCTTGTAGAAAGTTAATCAGTTCAAAATTTGCACAGAAAAGTTAAAGAAAAATAAGCAAACATAGCTGTACTTTGTATCGACAGGGTAGAATGTTATATGGCAATACACTGTAGCTGCGTTCCAAAGCCCAGGCTGCAGGTAGGCTGCATTTCTCGGCCGCTACTTCATAGAAGGCCGTTCCAAAGTGAAGGACCCTTCGTACACAGCCTAGAAATGCAACCTACGTTCGGAGTGATTTGAGGGACGCATCAGATGTATCCTTACAGGCCTTCGGTTACCCACAGTTCTCTGCGCACGAACGGCGCGAAGGAAAAAAGAAACAGCACCACGAAAACGACGGAAAACGAAGCCGTTAGAGTTTGTTTTTAAAACGTAAAAAGTTGTTCACATACTTGAGTTTGTCTTCGTTAACTTATGAAGTGTAAAATCACTGATTAATTAAAGCATCAGTCCATATATCGTACATTATTTAGAAGTATTTGCATGTGTGTAGTTTATCGTACTACGTAAGAACATCTCCATTTCCATGAAAAATGAAAAAGCAACAAACTCAACGCTCTGGTGACGTCCCCACGCAGCCTGATCCATTTGTGTGACCAATAGGCTACTAAGGAGGAGTCTTCACAGGACAGTCCTACCGAGGACCCACACTACCTCGGCTGGAGCCTAGGCTTTGGAACGCAGCTTGTATCTTCCTAAGCCAGGCCTAAACGCACTGCACGATGGCCATCATAATTCAGGTAATGGAATGTGCTGTGCAGTGCTGGACACCATTCGGGCTATTACACCTCACCTGAGACTCACCTTATTAATACACTTCATGTTCTTGGGAAAATAGAATATTTCAAAGAAGTACAAGCTTTGGCTTTCAGTGACCAATAACGTTAGCAATACTGGTCCAGGTGAGTCGGCCCACAAGGAAAAGCTAAGGGAAAACAACAGTAGGAAATAAAGTTGCAACTTTTTTTTAATGTCCTTCTTTTGTCACGTCTCGACGGCATTATTTCTGTAAATCAGCGTATACTCAATGACCACAGACTGACCACTCTTTCCTGCATGCTGCACACGCACGCAATCCCACACACACTTCTGTACAACAACAAATACTAGTTTGAACCAGATACGTTGGAAAAGATTCAAATTAAATATACAGTATTAAAAAGATAACAAAAGTGATCTGTAAAATGATATAATATTTAATTTGCCATCCCCCCCTCCCCCCCCCCAAAACAAAAACTTATATCCGAGCCACCCCTCTACCCCCCCCCCAAACCGCCCCAAAAAAAGACACCCTTTGGCCCATGTGGTGTGTACGCACAACAGGAAACCAAGATTTAAATTTAAAAACGAAAACGATTAATTCTAGAGTCCATAGCGATGTAATCTCTGTGTTTCAGTGGAGGAGCGACTGAGTGAGGGGGGACAGAAGGACATGGTTGACTAGTCTGTGCACAAAGCACCTGTGTATTCTCTCCTGCAGTCAACGTTGTGCAGCTGCACATCACCCACCTCATGCTACAGTCATACTCGCTCACGCACACACACACTCTCTCACATCAGTGCTTGCCTGACAAATCAGAAGGTAAAAAAAAACAAAAAAAAACAACAAAAAAAAAAAGGTAACAAAACGCAGGAGGACTGTGGCTCAGTCGATTTTGACCGCGGCGTATATCTTGCGTATGAACATGTAAGCTGCGTAGAAGCCGATCGTCCCCGTTAGGAGCCAGAAGGATAAAACCATCAGAGCTGTGTAGCCAAAATACAGCAAGGAGGGGATGAACTCCACAATGTCCAGCTGCAGAGAGAGAGAGAGAGAGAGAGAAAAGAAAGATTAATAAAAACCGTAACTAGTAATGAACTGATCTGTTACACTGGATCCACCATCAGTAGTTTCGTAGTCGCTCTACAGTGTAGGGATGATAATAATGATGAGTGGTTTGGTGTGAAATGCTGTTCTAGAGAAACTTATGAGTCAGAATTGTTCACAGTGGTGGTGATAGGAACCAGACGTCTAAGAGTTTAATGCCTCTAAAACAGGGGTGTCAAAGTCAACCAGTAAAAGAGCCATATTAAAAAAATGTAATCAAATCTTTGGGCCGGAGAAAAAATGTTTTCATTTGTTTTAATTAATGTTGTGCTGTAACCCAAAGCGGCCACTGTTTATTCAAAATCTGCAAAAACGTAAACAGTAAAATGCAGACGCTTGTTGTAGACCTAGAAATATTACATGAATACTTGAAATATTTATAATTTAAAAGTCGCCAGGTACTCTGTCTTTTAAACCTACATATTTGCTTGATCTAGACACCTGGCATCCTTTCTTCACTGCAAGTTCATTGAGACTTGGGCTCAGTTTCTGAGCTGCTGAGCTGACATTAAGTGTTTATATTGGTTGAACTGCAGCTGAAATGCATTTTGGTGATATGACTGTGTGGAATTGTGCAGAATTGTGAAGAACTGAGCTGTAACTGCTGACTATTGGTAATATTAATAGAAGAACAAAGCTTCCTCACAGAAAGTTATTACATGAAATGGTTATGAATGTGCTGCCTGGTGCCTGAAACATTGTTTTATGATGATTTTGCGATGAGGTTTTTGGCCTGAATCATTTTAAATCATCAACGGTGAAGATGTACATGCAGCGTGCTGTATGGCAAAAAGAAGAAAACTTATTTTTTCAGATTTGCCACAGTTTTGCCATCATCAGTATCACACATAAAACTCAGGAGACGTGTAGATTCACTGGTGGCTTTGGATAATAAATAACATGGCTATACATATTAATGTTAATATTTGTCCTGAATCATTAAAGTTACCCTATAATGAAGACGATTTCCCATCAAACATCTAAATTATTTTATTTTCCTCTCAATGACTGACTTATGCAGAAATTTAGAAAAACCAGTGGAATTTCTTTTTAAGGAGATGAAATTAGTTCTGTGCTTTAAACCAGCTTTTACATTTTTTTCTATGTAATTGTCAGATTTTTGGGTGATTTTCAGATAATAAGGTGAGAGTTAAGGTGTCGACAATGATCACTTAACTTTGTAGCCATAAAAGAAATTTGTATATGGTTGTATATGAAATAACTGTCCAGTGTGCCTCATTTAAAAATCCTTAATATTTCTTTTTTTTTAATTTCTTAAAATAGACAGATCATGTTTTGGAATTAAACAGAAAGAAAAAGTTGGCAAGTGAAATTATCTTAAATCTAAATCAACAAATCAAATTTTTCTCATTTTGAGAAGTTTATTATTAGATCGTTGAACGTATTTCTAGATTTCTTTTACATGTTTTAAGTGATTTTAGAAAGTCAAATTATTTCACCATACTGGCAGATAATTCTGCTCGTTTCAAGCATTTTTTTTTACAACCCAGTAGTTACTTTGACTTACAAAATCTGCTCTGAGAAGCCCCCTACATGTCTGCTACATACTCATACTTTTTACACATACACATATGTTTTTTATATAATAGTTGGACATGTGGACAAGACACAACTTTACAAACTATGTTCCTGGCTGTTATTAAACAAAAAAAACTAGCTAAACTTCGGTCGGTACAGGCTTGAAATGATCGCCCATCACAACCCAGAAAACTGCAGACACAATCCACTTCAACCATTCACACAGCAAACTGGACAACACATGACTATTTGTTTATATTTCTGTAGTAACTTTGGTAAGAATTGCTGTACGTATGAAAGTCAGCTGCATCACTCATGACACACAGAAGTAGTCAATGTGGGGAAAAAAGCACTTTAGGCTTGTGGAGTGAGAGAAAACGATGCTCCGGCTTTCTAAAGAGCTGCTCCTCGCTCTGGCCAAAATCTGACGCTTTGTTGTGTCACTAGTAATAAGGAGCTCAGATCTTTGGCTAGTTCAAACATGCTGGCAACAAGCTCTTTCATTCATTTAATCGAGCTCAGGAGAATTTACCAAAAAACAGTTTAATAAAATTTTAATCCAGTAGTAAAAAAAACGCAAAAATAAATGTTCCAATGTGTATTGAAATTTAAAGTTTTACAGATGCGCCTCTTGGTCTCTTCTTAGAGTCTCTTATTTACCGTGTTTCGCACAAACCACTGTCAACAGTCAAAACTAGGCATCTAAGCATCCTATCAGGGTGAACTGGGAAAGGAAGGGTGAGAGGCTTATGCTATGCACACACAAACTACTGTTTTTTGTTATTTGAAGTCATGTGCTGCTGTTTTTGGGACTAATTAGAGGGCTGGTACAGCAGGCACTGAAGAAGTTCTATGAAAACTTTTTTATTGAAATATACATGGAGATTCACTCGAAAGAGGCCCTGAATATTCTGTAATAACTCTCTCTAGGACGAATCAATCTGAACGAAACAATGTGCAATGAGCTCCTCAGTATATGGAGCTTCGAACAAGCCCCTGCGGCGGAGCGATTAGGTTGGCGCCGGACAGCCATCACAACGTTTAACCTCCTTTTGCAACTTACCCCGTGCATACCCCCGTACCCCTTCATGTGTCTGGCAGAAAACGGAGATCACTTCCAGCATCACATTACACATACGTCAAGGTATGTAGTGTATTTTTTTGGTTCAGGTTGCTTCATCCTAACAGGAGTCAGAGGACAACAGAATATTCGGGGCCTCTTTCGAGCGAGTCTCCATGTATATAGTCCCTATAAATAAAATACACGTACCTTATTGACGAAGTAAAAAATAGCGTAGACGAGTACGTAAAAGGCGGAGCCTCCAGACACAAGGAAAGTCCTCCACCACCATCGGTAGTCCTGCAGGAAGAAACAACACAAAAACTAACCACGGCTGCTCTGCACACCTACCGACTATTAGCTGACATTTTCCATTCACACAAATAAGCTAAGGCTCGAAGATCTGTTAATTATATATGATACTGCAGAAAAAAAATTGACAAATTACACAATGACTCTTCTTTGACCGGCCAATTTAAAAGAGTTTTGCAACGTTCATTATAGATGTAAGACTTAAATAACGAGGGGAGTATATCTTTTTGCTTACACAAAGCTAAAAGTGACTAAACGTACAAGAAGAATGGGAAAACTAATAGTACATAACTCAGTGTATTCATTTCTCAGGGCGCTTTCATGCCTGCGTCGTTTGGTGCTGACCAATCAAACTTTTTCCTCAGTCAAGCTGCTGCTTTATGTTGTAGCGAGTGCTTTATTCTACGCTGTTGTGTTCCGGGGCAGCAGCATTAACAAAACTGCTCTGAACAAATTAAACAAACTTATTAGGAAGGCTGGCTCTGTTGTTGGAGTCAAGCTGGACTCTTTGGAGGCTGTGGCAGAACAAAGGACGCTCAACAAGCTATTAGCCTTCTTGGATAACACCTCACACCCTCTGCATGCCTCTTAAAGCTCTTACAGACTCTTACAGCTGCGCTGGGTTAAAGAGCCGTGTGAGATCTTTCTTACCCGCTGCTATACGGCTCTACTAGGAGCCTCCTTACTGCAGAGACGGTACTGATCTCCTGCTGTCTGAGCTGAGCTGAGCTGAACCTCATCGCTGTATCTCCTCTCCTGTTAATACACACTGTGCAGTATATCATAACCTGCTACTGTACTGACTCTCACTGCGCACTTTACACTGTAACATTGCTGCTACTCCTAGTTGTGTCTATAATCATTGTGCTTTTAGACCTCATACCACTCAGTGCCTGCTATCATGTAAATACAGCAAATCTGTCTTGTATGCTATGTAAATATGCAAATAGATATACTTTATTTCCTACCCTCTTATACTTTAACTTATGTCTACTTTTATTTCTATTTTTTCTTTTCTGCATAGTATCTCTCAGTTTATGTGCAATTATATGTATTGCTACTGAAACACTGCAATTTCCCTCCAGGATCAATAAAGTTTGCTTTATTTATCGTTCTTGCTTTCTTGCTGTGTTCCTTTCTTTCTTTCTTGCTTGCTGTCTTTTTCTTGCTTGCTTGCTGTCTTTCTTTTTTGCTTGCTGTCTTTCTTTCTTGCTTTCTGTCTTTCTTGCTTTCTGTCTTTGTTTCTTGCATGCTTGCTGTCTTTCTTTTTTGCTTGCTGTCTTTCTTGCTTTCTTTCTTTCTTGCTTTCTTGCTGTTCTTTCTTCCTTTCTTGCTTGCTGTCTTTCTTTCTTGCTTGCTTGCTTGCTGTCTTTCTTCCATCTATCCATCCGTCCACCAGCAGAAAAGCAACAGCAAAGCTTTTAATTTTGGCACAAGCTCATATTTTGGAACATATTTTGATAGGCTGGGTTTGGCACCAGCTACCTGACTGGTTAAATTCAAAATTAGGGATAATTAAACCAATCAATCATAAACACATCAAGTAAAAAGAATTTTTATTACTCTGATTAGACATTAAGCGCCTCTATTTTCATGCAATATAATAGGTAGCATTACACATTGCACCATGAAGATTTTTGAGGGACACGTTTGGGTTTTATACTATGAGAGGGTAACGGAAGTTAAAATAAAGAAGGCTTTTTCTGGCACTAATGGAGGTAAACGTGATAGTAATAGACTGGATGAATCACTGCCAAATTCCTGGCCGATCAAAGAACAGCCGTATGTATAATTTGGTGCATTTTCGCCATTGCAGTTCCAAATGGAAAAAGATACAAGTTCACAAAAACTCAAACTCTGGTGCAAAGTTTAGCGAACAAACTAGGTGTTAAAACAGTTAACATATGTAGTTGACTGTTTCAGTACTTTCTTAATGATCACAAAGTACTTACCTTTTGTTAATTCTTCATCTCAGTACTTCAGTAACGTTCATGCAGATATAAGTTAAACATAACAACTAACATGTCCACAAAGAACCATCAAAGCTTTACAATGCAGTACGTAAACAGTGCAGTACGGATATCTTTAAACTAGCTACGCTGCTAAAGCTTTAACAAACACGATGGATAAGTCATCTGGAGGCCATAATGAGGCTTTAGTTTATGCATCGCTTAGCAGTGTAAAGTGATGTTTGTCAGTCTTGTGCTTTTTTACACGCTTCCTGTACTTCGAGTCACTTGCTTAAACTGACAGTTTAGACCTCCAGTCATTATGTACACAAACCCCTCCCACACACAAAACACACACCTCTGCGCAGAGCTGGAAGTAGACCATGACGATACTGATCTGTGAGCAGGAGACCACCAGGATGATGAAGACCAGGAACAGGAAGCCAAACAGATAGTAAAACTGATTCTCCCAGATGGCCTAAAGGGGCATAAATCTCACAGTAAGACAGAAAAACACAGAACACTTCTTTCTGACTTAATTACGATCCCCACTGTATTTATGCCCTGATTATTACAGGGGAAACGATGTATTTCCAGGTAGTTTTCAATTCTGCGGTTAAGACTCTATTGAATTTGTGTTTAAAATGCCTTGATCTGACAGATCAGGCTCACATAAATTAAATGAAACCTCTCCAACTGAACTTTTTTCAGTAAGCGATGCACCAAAACTGTCGTGGCACCTTTGTCAAAAGAGACAAAAATGCTGAAGATTCTGACCCCCCAAAAACCGTTTTGACCACACAACACGTCCAAATCTAACAGTGCACAAATTTTAGTTAAATTAGAAAAAGTAATTAGAACACTTTCCTTTGGCTCTTCTGTGCCATATGCATTCAAACCGTTTGAGTTTTCAGAAGATCAACAGAAAAAAACAGCCGTGTCAACCATTTCACGGTTTCTATGAGGGACATCAGACCAGCAATTTGTAATACTTGTATGAACAGTGATTAAGATACAACGGCCAAGAACTTCTGCTTTACAGGTTTGACACTTAAAAACACTTGAAAACATAATGCTCAATATGCAGATTACACTAAAACAGAAGCAAAAAGGAAAGTCCCTGCTCACGAGTCGACGGCATCTGCAGTTCTTAAAATGACGGTGAAGGAAAGCACAAAAACAGATATGCCAAAGTATAAAGAAAAAAAAAATGGAACAGCATTTTTATTTATTGTCAGCTCAGCCTGAAAAATTCTGAAATTCTGTTCTCTGTGCTGGCACCCAGGTGGTGGAACGAACTCCCACTGGCTGTCCGAACAGCAGAGTCTCTCTTGGTCTTCAAACGCAGACCGAAGACACACCTGTTTATACAGCACTTAAATGAGCACTGAATTAAGTATTGATTGTAATGTACTGTACTGCACTTGTGTATTGTATTGTATTGCACTGCTCTGTGTTGAACTCTGTCCCTTTTTCTCTAGGTGTCAATAATGACTTTCTGATTCTAGCAGTATCTGAGCTCAGGACTGACTTTCTCTCTAACCTATTGGTAACTAGCAAAGATACTTTCTCTGGACAGACAAAGCACTTGTTGTAAGCCGCGCTGGATAAGAGCGTCTGCTAAATGCTGTAAATGTAAATGTTCTGAAATCTGATTGGCTGAGCCACATTCAAGGCCGCTGTAAAGTATGAGCACACACCAACTGAATACTAAACGATTACACAGATATTAAAGAGGATTTCTTGTATTTATTCTGTGTATATAAAGTAAACAACCCATAGTACACATACCATTCATAAGAATCTTGTTTTGTTTAACCTCTTACTCACCAGGGCATATTTTGGTTTGTCCATCTGAATTTACATGACCAAATTGTAAAGCAAATTATTCAACTGCATGAAATAAATGTACATTTTTATTTTATTTATTTATTTATTTTAAAAAGCTCCCCTCAAATTAACAGAACGTGTGTTTTATGATCACACATATTGCTATATGCTTACAGTTTACTGCTGAAAGCCAAAAATCTTAGACGCTCTTTGTATTATTTTATAAAAATAATGTTTACAGAGCAGATCACTGAAGAGACGCCATCTGTTTATAGTTTATAGCCCAGATTTGTGGAAAAATGGGTCGACTTTCAGTAGAAAAAAAAATTTGAGAGTTCAGCTTCTTTTATTATAAGGGTTTAAAATTACATCACCCATCTATTTGACTGGAGAGAAGACAGTTACAGCCTCATACGACCCCCACCTTTAGAATGTAGCTTAAGAAATACGAAAGTTATGAAAAAGTTATGAAGAATATGACAAAGTGCGTTTTGGAACCACCGGTGGTCTCAAGGAGTTGAAAAGGTTAAACCAAGGGGCTGACAACTATAATATGGTCATGATTACATGATCAAATTCTAAAAACTTAACAAAACGACTGGAATATACAACGATGGGCTACTGAAGGTTCGAAAGTTTCAAGTTTCATTCACCACCCAATACCAGTACAGTTTGCGTGTTGACAGATGAGGCTCAGATAAATGAAACCTCTCATTTCCGAGTACTGCTGTATCAAAACTGTCAAAAATGACGCTTTTAGTTTTCAGACCAACATGCTGAAAATTCTGACCCCTAAAACAGGCCTACAACAGGTCTGAATCCAACACCTCACAAGTTCTAATGGTAATGAAAATTAGAAACAGTGATTAAAAGCACTTTTCCTTGGCTCTTCTGTGGCAGGTTTGAGTGGCAGATCAACAGAAAAAAATAGTCGTATGGAACCGTTTCATGGTTTCTATGAGGGACATTGGACAAGCAATTTGCAATCACTGTTCATACAAGTATTAAGATACAACGGCCAAGAACATTGAAGAAGACCGTTACAGGTCTGACACTTGAAAACATTCGAAATCATAATGCTCAATATGCAGATTGCACCAAAACAGAAGCAAAAAGGAAAGTCCCTGCTCACAAGTCAACGGCATCTGCAGTTTTTGAAACTTTTTTTGAAACAGTTTTTGTGAAAAGAAATCACAAAACGAAGTGCCAAAGTATAAAGAAAAAACAATGCAGTTGTATTTATTGTCAGCTCAGCCTGGACAGCAAACAGACACTTCTGAAATCTGATTGGCTGAGCCACCTTCAAGGCCGCTGTAAAGTACTTGATATGAGCACAAACCAACTGAATTTTATATTAACACACATACAAGCAAAAGAATTCCTTGTATGTGTTCTTTAAGTGTGGATATAAAGTAAACAGCCCATAGCACACATGGTTTTGTTTAAACCAAGGGGCTGACAACTATAATATGGTCATGATTATATGACCAAAAACTAAAAACTTAACCAAAGGACTGGAATATACAATGATGGGCTACTGAAAGTTAATAAGATTCAAAAACTGTAAAAAATGGCACTTTCAGTTTTCAGACAAAAATGCCTAAAAGGCCTAAAACAGGCCTACTACGTTCCCGAATCACCTCACAAATTTTAATGGTAAAGAAAACTAGAAACAGCGATTAAAAAACACTTTTCCTTGGCTCTTCTGTGGCAGGTGTGTTCATACTGTTAGAGCGGCAGGAGATTAACAGCGAAAACGGCCATATGGAACTATTTCACGATTCCTCTGAGGGACATTAGACCAGCAATTTGCAATCACTGTTCTTGCCAAGTATCAAGAGGAGATACAGCGTCCAAGAACTTCTCCATTGCAGGTTTGATACCACTTGACAACACATCATGCACGACATGCAGATTACAACAAAACAGAAGCAAAGTGGAAAGTCCCTGCTGAGAAAGCTGACGCCATCTGCAGTTTTTGAAATGATTGAAAAAAAAATTTGGCAGATAAAGAAAAAGTGTTCTTACTTATTATCAGCTCAGTCCAAAAATAAATAAATAAATAAATAATAGCCTAGTGAAAAAGGCAAAAAATAGTGTGTGTGTGTTTATTTATTTGCAGTTTCAGTTTATGGCTCGCTGTGGCCTTAATTTTAGCTTTGGTTTCCAGCAACAATTTTCATTTTGGTGCATCACTATGTTCAATAGAAGATAGCCCTCTAATAAAATAAGCCCTGAAAATTGCACGGCACAGCACATGCCCCTTCCCCTCCCTGCCAGTGAATCTGACGCAACAGAGGTCTGACTTACACTGAAGATGAAGAACAACTCAATAAACATTGCACCGAATGGAAGGATGCCAGCCATCAGGATCCTAAATGGGCAGAAGAAACAGGACTGTCAAAGTGCATTTCTACTGAACCCTGGGCAGTTTAAAGGAAAACACCAGCATTTCTCCACCTAACTGCTATCTGCAACACATGTAGTGTACAATTTATTGCAACAAACAATACTTTTGATGTAGAAAAATCCTTCAAATTGTAACTAGCAGTATTATCTTATTTTTGTTAGCATTGAACACCTATAACTGGTGAGGAGGCAAGGCAAGTTTATTTATATAGCACCTTTCACACACTAAGGTCAATCAAAGTGCTTTACAAATGATGAAATGCAAAGATAATTCAAATTATAATTTAAAAAGTGACAAAGTAAAGAAGAACAGAAATTAAAAACTTAATTAAAACGTAATTAAAACAACAAGATTTTAAGAGACTTATTTAAATTAAAAATTAAATTAAAACGATATTAGGATAATAAAGGGCTGTAACAGGAGGGAACTGCCGTAGAGCTAACAGTGTTTTAAACTGAGATGAAAACTGCTCAAATAGGAACGTTTTCCCGGATTTAAAAGTGTCCAGTGTCGGGGCTCTTCTAATACTCTCTGTCAACTGGTTCCATTTAAGAGCAGCATAGTAGCGAAACGCTGCTTCTCCATGTTTAGTTTTTACCTTAGACAGGATTAACCGACTAGAACCTAATGATCTAGTTCTGTTCAACTCTGCTGCAGTGTATCAGATACGTACGCTGATCCTACACCATTAAGACCAGTAACAGTACCTTAAACTTTTATCTGCAACTTACTGGTATCCAGTGTAAGGATTTAAGAATGGGGGTGATGAGTTCCCTTCCTTTACTCCTAGTGAGACTCTGGCAGCTGCATTCTGAAACAACTGAAGCTGTTTGTCTTTTTTCAGAGTCCAGTTAGGAGATCATTACTGTAATCAATCCTGCTAGAAATAAAGGTATGGATGAGCTGCTCCAGGTTCATTTAATTAGAAAATCTCTAATCTTGTTGACGTTCTTAAGGTAATAAACAGCAGATCTGAGTTCACTGAGTTCATCAGTTCACCAAGGTTACAAGGTAGTTCTCTAAATTTTAGGGCTCTCGAGTCCACACAGCCAGCTAGTCTGTGCCTCTTGTTGCTATTCCAGAATAAAATAGTCTCTGTTTTATTTTTATTTAAATGCAGAAAGTTTTGTCTTATTCAGTTAGTGATGCGCTTTAAGGCACTTACAAAGTGAGTCAAGGGGATCAAAGTTGTTTGGGGAGAGGGCCAAGCAGATCTGAGATCTGCTTAGTTGTGGTAAGATATCCCATAGTCTTGTAGTAATTGGCCAAGAGGAAGCATTAAAAGCGGCCCAAAAATTGAACCCTGGGGGACACCACAGGTCACTGGCACTCTCACAGAAACATTATTTTCTATTTCGACAAAGTAGCTCCTTTTTTGCAGGACTGAACTGAACGATTTTAGGACAGTTCCTGAGAGACTAACCCAGTCTCTAAAACCTATCCATGAGAATTTTATGGTCGATGGAGGGTCATTTTATGGTCAAAGGAGGGTCAAACTCACCCGACAAACTTGTTCATATACCAGCGCTGCTCAGGCACCTGCCGGGGGATCTGGTTGGTGCGCACTGGGTTGTCGTACGGCTGCTTTCTGAAGCCAAAGTAGTAGCCCAGATACACTAGAGGCATGGAGATTCCAAACCACATGCACAACAGAGCCAGCATGGTAGTAAAAGGGACCTGAGAGAGGACGAGGAAAACATAGCTAGAGCACTTTGCTAACTTCATAAGAGCAGATTTGGTGGATTATCTGCAAACTTGTAAATCTGATTGTTTTGTCAGAGTATAAAAGAAAACGGAGGTGGAGTGTAAAAACTGACTGCACAGATACTCACAGCTCCAGAGGAGTGCTCTCCCCAGATAAAACAGTTCAACACAAAACAGATTCCAAAAACCACCGCTGGGTACAGAGTCGCAGTCTATAAAGAGGAAGCAAAACATTTGGCATCAATTGGTTGGTTTCTCAAAAAAGGTAGCACAAGTCAAGGTAGAACAAAGTGAATGACAGTTTAAACACTAACAGTTAACATGACGTTAGAAAAATAGTTTGCTGCTTTTTATAAAAAGATCTTCAGCTGTGGCTGAAAATTAAAGAAAAATTAAACACAATTAGTTTCTAATGTACATCAATGCATTTCTGTGGTCTGCAAAACTAACAAAACCTTGCCTTCAGCAAATGTAACAGTGGATTTTTTGCAATTTGTATTTGTTTTTTTGTTTTTTAAAGTTGTTGCCCAATAGAAAAAAAAGGTATCAAGAGCCTACAGGGATACTAATTCGAGGCAGAAGAGCAAAGGTAATATAATGAAACTCAAAACGCAATCAGCAAACACTGCCACTGATTAATGCAGACCTTAGTGGTATTACCTTGGCAAAAAAACAGAAACTGAAACACATATTCCTGCTATGTTTGAGAACACTATCATGTTGCATATGACGATGTCACTGAACCAAGAACCCACAAAACAAACTCAACCCAACTCGAACTTGTGTGATTGTTGGTGGTAAAATGTTTACTGGGCTTGACGGTTCTTTTTCTGGACACTGTAAAGATAATTGCCAAGTTAGGACGTAAATAATTATCTGATTATTCATTAACTGACAAACAATTGTTGGACCAACATTACTTCGATTTTATTTCATTTTTAAAAAGTTTAGTAATGTTTCTAAATTAACAGGCAACTGATTTATTAAAAATTAAGCATGTAACTAAAAACAAGGGATGTTCGGGACAACTACATAGACATGCCATACCGAAAGCAAACGCCTTCTTTGAGAGAAAGTGTGAGGAAATCACACATGGGTGTATAAAATTATAGAAAAGGTTGTGATGCACGGCGATCGCTTTCGAGAGCTAGTGAGGTACTCTCTGACACAACTGCCCCGGTCATGAGAATTAATTTTTAATTTGGGCTGGTAATGAGTGATGAATATAACTGGAGAATTTTGCTTGAATTTTCAGTAGCCAATCAATCATTGTAACTTCTGGTCATTTTTTATTTAACTTTTTAGGTTTTAGTCACATAATTATGACCATATTATGGTTGTCAGCCACTCAATGTAAACAAAACAGGGTTTTTATGTAAGGTATATTTACTACAGGCTGTTTACTACTTACACACACCTACACACCTACTTATACACCCAACCTACCAGTACTACTCCCCAGTATGAATGGCGAGCTTAAATATTTTGACTGTTTTTTGAATAGTGTAATTGTGCATAATTATCACACAGGCCTATTAGTGAGGACTGGAGCCCCTGTCATAGAGAACCGACGTATACTGGGCTATGAAGGTGTTCAAACATAAAGCCTGCAACACACAAGTCATTTCTTGAACTTTCTAATTGTAATATACTCATGGACATGAGCATATCATCATATAACAATGCTAAATGTAGAAGCCTGTGCTTTATGAGTAGTGTTTGTTTATTCACTGCTACAATAATGCTAATTACTGCTAGTGTCCCAATGGCTAGACAGCTCTATATGACTGCACAGCTCTAGCATACAGAAGCTCTCCGTTCACTTCCATCCAAAATTTCATAAGTGTCCATTTTATACAATGTTATTTTGCCTTGATTTTAGGCTTTGAATCACTGACCAATGATTGCCGGTTATTTGCCAAAATTTACATCCCAACATTACCATGTTGCAATTACCACTGCACCCCAAAATTACCACTAATGCCAACATTACCATACTGTTTAAGAATTTTTGGTTGATTTGTTCTAGTGGCAAAAAGCTGGGTTAACATTTGAATGGCTAGTCACTGATAGTTCCAACCCTCTATTGCACAATGTTGCCTCAGGGCAACAAACTCACTTTATTGTTAATGTTATACATATTTATAAACAACGATAGGGTTAACAATAAAGGGAAGAGTTTGAGTAAGTCAATAAAAAGCATGTACTTGGTCATAATATCTCTTAGTGGGCACAATTAAACCTCTTTTTTAACATTCAGTATCAATTTTTCTCATGGGAATTTGCAGAAATATGTTTGTTGCCTAGAAGCAACATTGTGTGACAGTGGAACGGATTTAGCCAGTCACAAGCTAGGTCTCAAGGCAACATACTCCAAAAGGTCCCCAGCACACGACTGTTTTTAAATTTAATAAGCGGGTCTGAAAAAATGAATCAAGGATAATTTTATGCAAGAAAAGTGAACTGAATATTTTTAAATTGCTCTCATAATGCATAATTATACATAATGCATGCAGTAGAGGATTAATAATAGAGTTTAGAAATGAAATATTGCCCTTTACGGCATTTCTGCTTTGGTATCGACTACCAAAATTCCCTAGTTACAACAACGGTAATGTTTCTGTACTGTGTTGAAGCATATATGCTGTTACTCACACAGAAAGCTCCTTTCTTCCATCTGTGGCCCTTTAGCGTGCGGTACAGTCTACCAGCGAAAAATCCCCCAAACACACTGCAAAGACAGCCATAGAAAAAAAAAAATACCCATAAAACAGTTAAAAACTGACTTACAATCTTAAAAGGGAGTTAAGACGCCAGCATGTGCACAAACATGGGCATAAACACAGATATACTTTCAATACACATGAATTCATCTTACCCCATGAACATAAAGAGAAAGCAAGCAGTGGTCATCAGAGCCCCTCGGCTTGATGGAGACAACATGCCCAGCATGGCCACAACTTTAACACACACACACACACACACACACACATAAACACAAACCATGGGTCAGAGTTCATTTGGCTGGTAAATATACATTGGTGTTCTACATTAACATAAGGTAGTTTCATACTTACAGATAACAATGAGGATCATGCAAAACAGCTGGATCCCTGAGCCTAGCAGTGAACTAAGGATCATGGGGTACTGGGGTGGGCGGAACACGTCTCCATGAACATTCTTCCAGCCAGACTCCTCCATGGTGTCCTCCTGTGAGAGAGAGAGACTGATTTAATGCTTGGGCAATCATTAATGAGACTCCATCACAAGAGCACAGGTAGAAAGGATTCACTTACAATGTCATCCTCTCTGTTGTAGTTGGCAATGTCCTTCCTCAAGGTCCTGATGATGATCATACTCAGGATTCCTACAAATATGCACAGATATTTACCAATGTTCACAAAATGTCACAGCAAAATGCAAAAGGATGTGCACTCTACACAGCTCCAGCTTCAGACAGTATCATGAATAGCTAAAAGTTCCCATTCATGTGATTGTAAATCAAGCTTGAATGGTTTAAATGTCAGATAACATGCTGTCGTTGGCTTTAAGATGCACTAAGGTCATCATTTTGGTCTTGTAATCTGTGTTTTCTTTAAATTAGTTGTTTAAAGGTGTACTCTATGTTCGGAATCAGCCCAGATATGCTGTGTGGCTCTAGAAAATTCTGCCTGCTGAACAGACAGAGCCATGCTGTAACTTTCCACACACATAATTCCTCCCCTTGTGAAATATGAATGGGGCGCTTAAAGATTTTGCACATTGTATTTGTGTATAATCAAACAACAGTTAGTTCCGGCCATGCAAGCTGATTGGTTGAGAAGCGTTTTCACGAACATTGTATCACTCCGCTGAGACGCTGTTGCTAAACAACGACTTTGACAGCTGTAGGAGACGCTCAAGACATCTGAACGTTTTTACTTCTTACTTTGCCACAAACAGAAAATGGACACTTTTAAGATCACATTTGACCGACAGCCGATTTGGTCAGACTCTGAAGATGAGACGACACTAAATTCACCACTGAGCAGCTTTTCAGTCGGCAGCTGTGACAGAAGAACAGCTAAACAACCTGGAATCAGCCAGAAATGAACCCGACACCATTCGCCAAACGTTTAGTCTCATCTTCAGAGTTTGATGAAACTGGACTGAGCCATAAAAATGCTGCGATATCAAGTTCAGCTCAGTTTTGTCATTTTTTGCCAGATCAATATTAATGTTGTTTTGTTCCAGCCAGTCTGTAAAGCATCTTACAGCCCATTTTGTTTGGCGAATGGTATTGGGTTCATTTCTGGCTGATTCCAGGTTGTTTAGATGTTCTTCTGTCACAGCTGCGACTGAAAAGCTGTGAAATTTAGTGTAAGGAGCTGGAGAACGACCTGCCGGCTGTGCAGCGAGTGAGCGGAGATCGTTACTCTGATGTACCAACAAGCTGCTGGTTAAGGAACTATAATTTGGCGGAAGGAACTGCGAACATTAAAACACATTAAATGCCGCGTTCACAGCCCAGTTTATTTATTTCTTACTTTATTTATTCAACTGTTGTATAAAAGCCTTCGGCTTCTGCCTGCGACCAAATCACAGCCGTGATGTTTTTTCACACTCCCTCTCGTGTTCCAATTGCATAATTATGACACAGGCCTATTAGTTAGGACTGGAACCCTTGCCATAGAGCACTGACCGTTACTGGGCTATGAACGTGATCCAACATAAAATAAAGCATGAGCATATCATCAAATAACATTGCTTAATGTGGAAGCCTGTGCTTTGCAAGTAGTGTTTATTTATTCACTGCTACAATATTGCTAATTTCTGCTAGCGCCCCAGTGGCTACACAGCTCTGTATGACTACACAGCTAGCATACAAAACACGCTCCCAGAAGCTCTCCGTTCACTTCCACTCATTTCAGGCTGTCTTTAGTCCAAATACAGAGGCACATCCGAGTCGTTTTAGGTTACCATATGACCCTGGCCTTTTCTACAGAGACTGGACTGTCTGTCATTTGATCCATAGGCCTGTCAATCACCTTACAGCTTCAAAATAAACAGTTTTCCGTGAGAGTACAGAACTTTATGTGATAAAGTTGAGGCTTGAAAGACTGCACTGTAATATTTGAAGTAGAGGTTCCTTATTAATATACAGGAGAGAGCAGGTTCACTGTGTAATAATAATAATAATAATAATAATAATGATAATAATAATAACAACAACAACAACTCCAAAGAAGACAGGCAAACATACATATTTATTCATTAATCTGTAAACGAAGTCTAGTTGTTTAGATTGTTTGAAACTATTTATTACTATTAACTTTATAAGGATTATTAATATAAAACATTTTAAACTGAACATTTAAGTTTTTTCTCTTGCTATGCTGTATTCTACAATATATTTAACACAAACAACTAATGACAGAAGAAATAACTAAAATTCATCATGCGCTGAAAGAGCACTGTCATGCTAAATGGCTGCTTTTTCCCTTTTCATTTTTTTTAACTGGGTTACAACAACACAAAGATGCATGAAGACATAAGGGCAATCAAGAAATAAAGAGAGACAGTTTGCATCAAAAACACTGTATGCACTGCGGACAGAGATATTTTTATTTATTTATTTATTTACTTAGCTTTTAGCCTTTTTGTTCTTCAGATTTTTAAATGCCATAAATAACTGTTCGGATTCCAGAATGCACAGTAAGAAAAAAGGCCTCTTGTTACTGAATTTGCATTTGTGAATATAGAATTTTTTTTAAAACAAACAAAAAAAAAAAAACCCACAATAAATTAATGTGATAAAACTGATTCTTGTTTTGATTGCACTGAATGGTTGCTGTGATTTATGGAGATTCGAAATATTTACAAAATTTTACTGGGTAGCTTCTACAAACAGAGCTGTAATTTGCATGGCATGGCTGAAATTAGCACCATTATGGCACCTGCGCAGCCTCAAGTTCCCGCTATCCACTGCATGAGAAGCTGATCAGGAAGTGACATGAGTGACCTCACCTTGCCCCTATTGAAAACAGCAGTATGACTGGGTCCAGTTTATATATACTTTCAATAATACAATGGATGTATTTTTTTTATCAGTTGGTTTGGTGCAAACGCATGTAAATATAAGAAAAAACAACACACATTTATTAAGACACATCATGGGTCTTCAGCAAACGTTTTTACTACTAACAGGTGCTATAAAACACCAGTAGAGGGCAGCAGTGAGTAATATTTGTTTTTTGAGCTCGAGCTGTGCCTGTTGTCCATGGAAACCTAAGAAGTGACAGCTAGGAAGCAACATAGCTTATCAGCCAAGTTGGTCCCCCCATTGCAGCTCTAACAGCTTCCACTCTTCTGGGAAGCTTCCTACAAGATTTTGGAGAGAGTCTGCGGGAATTTTTGGCCGTTCATCCAGAAGAGCATCTGTGAGGTCAGACACTGATGTTGGATGAGAGAACCTGGCTCGCAATCTCGGCTCTAGGTCATCCCAAAGGTGATTAAAAATGATTAAATTTTACTGTGTATGCTGCAGATTATAAAACATACTGAATTATGCATGTGTATAATGTGAATATTACATACAAATATATAGATATTGTGAGCAATTATGCATTTATTTGGCCCCTGAACAGGAACTGTGGCCCCATCAGGCCCCACCTAAAAAAAACCCTGAAATCGCCAGTGATAGGAAGTGTTCTTGTATGTAAACCATACTTTGGTGCTTACTTTAGTTTGTGCTCAACACGTTAAGGTATTTAAGTGCTTTATTTAGATTTATTTTCTGACTAGTTATAAAAATTGTCATCTAATCACTCCCATAATAGTACAACTACATTTAGCTGTATTTGTGCTAATTTACATAGTTCTGTTATTGAAAAAAATATATATATATATATACACACACACACACACACATACACACATACACACACCTGGCTGTCACCGGTGTAACACATCAATTTATAAACTGATTGATTATATTAATTAATTAGCAGCCAACAACATACAATGACACCCTTCATAAAATTGCAAACATCCATACCTGATAAGAAGAAGACGACCACGACAGAGTTGACGATGGAGAACCAGTGAATCTGCACATCACTCATAGTGAGATACGTGTCCCAGCGAGAAGCCCACTTCACCTGGCTCTCCTACACAGCACAGGAGCCAGAGAGGTATAAGAATTGTGTACGATGCACAGACAGAGGTGGACTGTCTGCTGAAAATGTGGACGATGCTTTCTCACCTCCCAGTGCACAGAGTAGGTGAAGAGCACACTGTTCTCTTTGTTTGGGTCAATCTCCTGAGGAGCAGAACCACTGGCCTCGGGTAACGTGCAGGCACCGTCCTTCTCAGCCTTCAGGTCTAAGAGAAACAAAGACAGACAGACAGAAAGAGGAAAAGAGAGGTGAAAAAGAACGAATTAAAATGCATAAAAGCAGAGTCCTTTTAGAAGTTGATATATAAATGGATAGTGCTAATGATGAGCAAGTACAGAGAGATTCACTCGAAAGAGGCCCCGAATATTCTGTAATAATTCTTGCTAGGACGAATCAACCTGAACGAAACAGCTCCTCAGTATACGGAGCTTCGAACAGGCTGGGATGCCCCTGTGTCGGAGCGATGAGGTAGGTGCAAGACAGCCGTCGCACCGTTTAACCTTTGTTTGCAACTTCCGGGCGCATACCCCCGTACCCCTTCATGTGTCTGGCAGAAAACGTAGATCACTTCCAGCATCGCATGGAATGCAATCGATTACACATTCGTCAAAGTATGTAGCGTATTTTTTGGTTCAGATTGCGTCATCCTAACGGAAGCCACAACAGAACGTTCGGGGCCTCTTTCGAGTGAATCTCTCTGTATTTAAATCTATACGGTTTAACTTCCTTAAAATAACAGACATAACAGAAACTGCCCAATATTTAGGCTACATTCACATTACAAGCTTCGCTGTTCAAATCTGTTTTTTGCTCAAATCCGATCTCTCTAACACGATGGTTCTCACTCTTTTAGGTAAGTGACTCAAATCTTTCATTCATGTGAACAACCCAGCGTCCTGAAATGACCCTCATGAGCTCATCCTACTCAGTAACGTCCCGTGAATGAATCACGTTCATCATCAGCACAAACTAACGAGCAGAACGAGCTTCGCTGAGAAGATAATTAACTCTCATCAGCTCTCAGCTTCATTATTAGAGCGAGACGAAGGAGAAAAAGGTGAGATGAGCTGCTTTTCCATCGTTTACAGGCTTTAACTTCTGTTCGGCGCTGCTGCCATGGTAACGCTGAATGATGGCGCACGTGCAATGAAAAAAAAGCACATGAATTCCGATCTGAGCTTCTCATTAAGGTCGCATGGCCACGAATCGGATAAGTATCTGATCTAGGACCACATATGAAAGTGGCTCAGATCAAAAAATCGGATTTGTGCCACTTCAACCTGGTAATGTGAACGTAGCCTTATACACAAGATTCATAGCAACAGGCAACTCTACCGCCAGCAGTCTATCTCAATGACTAACTAACTCTCCAAGAGTTTCAATGTGATGACTCCCATCCTTGGGACGTTAACGGACCGGTCATCTGCTATTCCAACCCCAAGTGAAAAGGCCTGACATGTGTTACCTTCAAGTTTTACACTCTGTGGCACCACCTCAAAGCGTACAACACGGTAAGTTGGCTCATCTTGTTCCTCCATCTTCTCTTTGTGGTAGTACAGGATGAAGGACAGGTGGTTGTGCAAATAGTACTGTAGGGAAAGGAAAGACATTGTGCAAATAAGAACGTAGGAACATAACCAAAATGCCACATATGACGCAACAAAACAAAGCCGCATTGCAAATAGTGTGGTCAGAGACTCTCACAGCCCTGAGATAATTACCTGGCAGATAATAACCTGAAATGTTTGTAAGCACTGAATCAATAGCGTCTCTAAGAAGGGCTAAATGGTTTGGGGAAAACATCTTACTGCGATTTTTCCGACAAATATTGCGATGGTGATTTAAATGTGATTATTGTCTGTAAATTAAACCCCAGGCCTTTTTTCGCCAAGAGGACCTGCACATTCATTTTATCTGGCTTGGGGCTTAAATGCTTGAATTTATGCCAGACTGCCAGTTCATAAGCTCAGTATTATTAGGATAAATGAGGATGAAATACTGCCAAGAGAAAGAGGAGGTAGGTGACGTAACTGGTAAACAGCACTGTACCTATAATCCTACTCTCACAGTTCAGAATTCTTCGATTAGTGGACAATGAAAGCACAAATTACTCTCAGCTTGTTTGTTAAGTGCAACGCAAAGTCAAAGACTTATTTCCTTTGTTGTCCTTAACACATAACAGCAAAGACAGTGTACACCGATCAGGCATAACATTATGACCACCTCCTTGTTTCTGCGCTCATTGTCCATTTTATCAGCTCCACTTACTATATAGGTGCACTTTGTAGTTCTACAGTTACAGACTGTAGTCCATCTGTTTCTCTGATACTTTGTTAGCCCCCTTTTACCCTGTTCTTCAGTGGTCAGGACCCCCATGAACCCTCACAGAGCAGGTACTATTTGGGTGGTGTATCATTCTCAGCACTGCAGTAACACTGACGTGGTGGTGGTGTGTTAGTGTGTGTTGTGCTGGTCTGAGTGGATCAGACACAGCAGTGCTGCTGGAGTTTTTAAACACTGTGTCCGCTCACTGTCCACTCTATTAGACACTCCTACCTTGTCGGTCCACCTTGTAGATGTAAAGTCAGAGACGATAGCTCATCTGCTGCTGCACAGTTTGTGTTGGTCATCCTCTAGTCCTTCATCAGTGGTCACAGGACGCTGCCCACAGGACGCTGTTGGCTGGATATATTTGGTCGGTGGACTATTCTCAGTCCAGCAGTGACACTGAGGTGTTTAGAAACTCCAGCAGCACTGCTGTGTCTGATCCACTCAGACCAGCACAACACACACTTAGGGGCATGTGATTTACAAAATGGGGCTACAACAAAAACAGACCTGCGTAATAACTTTTAAAGACATGATGCTGTGAGGCTCTCAGGCCTTTTGCAACCCGGCTACTATCTCCTGCTCCAAAAACACTCAACATGGTACGCAGAGTGTTTGCAAAACTGTTTCCCAATAGACTGAAAAAACTGGAATGGTGCACAGAACCGCGAAACTGCATACACACAGACTTGTAGTAGATAGTAATCAAGAATACAACTGACAACATCCTCATAGCTCTGGCCAGCTTGGCAAGCTGTATTTATTAGAGGGTTAGCACCTCTATGGGTGGAGGCTCAGACTGCTATAGTACTTTTGTCACTGGTTTTGCATAAAAATGAACAAAGTAAATAATCTAAAGAAAGAAAAGTGGGATTTTGGCTCCTGGATGACTTCCTGTGGAGCTTTCATTGTTTTCAAGCCATTAAGAACACTTAGTATCTGCTATAGGTGTATGTTATGCTAGGCTAGAGACAAAAATGTGGGCCCAAAATACTGTTTTGAATAGCGTTACACCAATACTGATGCTGTATCGGTGCCGATACTGGCATTAAACGCAGTACTGTTGATGGGCATATTGATACCTATGACTGACACCACAAAGCGATTTCTAAAACGTGCATGCAAGCCTATAGAGAGAACTTTACAACACACAGGTGGAGCGGGACGACCAGCAGCAGGAAAAATGCTCACGGCAGAATATTTAATGGCAACAAGCTAACAGAGCTGCTTACCTGAACAGCAGAGCTGCTTCTTACACTATATCACTCATCTGCCACTGTGTGGTCACTTACAGCCTGAGTTAATGTTATTGAAAGAGGGGGAGGAATTGCCAGACTCTCGGCGTAACGATAGCCTTTAGCCTCGATTTGGCCTTTAGCACAGCAGCCTGCTAGTTGGGCCTGTGCGTTCATCAGCCCCGCCTGCGTGAGCGATGGTGATATTTACTAAACTGACGCTCAGAGACGCAGCACAAGTGAACAAGGCGCACATATGATTCAAACGACTTGAGAAATTTGGATGTGAAACAACATTCAGTTCAGGCTTTGAGCCAGAGAAGCTGCTGTGTGCTGATGTGTAAACACCACAGGTTTATCTGTAGACTGTTCAGCTCTGTTTTGCACAATAAACATATTTTACATTTACTTAAGTTCCTAAACATGACTCTTATTACTAATAATATAATAGAAAATACTAAATGTATACAACAAAAAGACGTTTCTTAAGCATCTAACAAGTATAATCCAACAAGTAAATGTGGTCTACTCCAGCAGAATGTGTTTTATCTGCACTTTACCAAAACATTTTTAAAATGTAATTGTATAAACATCAGGACTTATAGGTGAGTCAAGTTAGATAGAGTTAGTATCTGTATCGGTACTTAGTCACTGCTAGTACCTAAGGACCAGGTATCGGTATTGTTAGGAAAAACTGGTATCGGTACATCTCTAGTTTTGAGATACATCATCTTACATCGGTAACTCCACCAACTCCTCAACGTCCCTCATTTTAACACGAGGAGGTGCTGCGTTCCTTTTGGAAACACTTTGGCCACAATACTGTGACCTTTTCTGGCACTTTAATGTCATAATTCTACGATATTGTTATCAAAATACAGGGTGATTCAACCGATTTCAAAATGATTTATTGCACTTGTAAATCATTACAGATCAATGCAGTGAACTGTAAATGGTTTAAATGAGCATAAAGTTTATTATGTAATTGTGCAAGTGCTCAGTATGAACCTCCTCCAGCTGTACAGACAACATCAACACCATAGTCAAACTCATCCCATACTGGATTGAGCATGTCGGGTGTCGCTGCACTCGCGGCTCTTTCAGCGCGATTACGGAGATCATCCAGTGTTGTGGAACCAGCGACGAACGCTCTGAGCTGTTGGAGGTTCACTGCCCATGAAAATCACGCTGCATGACGGATTCAGTCTTTTGAAGTGGAGAACGCAGAACGCTTTCTGCTCAGGGGTCGCATCTCCTCTCAGACTGAAGGGAGCCATCTTCCACTGACAGTCAGAAACTCTATGACCCCCTCTTTCAATTGGATTGTGATTGGTTCCTAGACGCCTCACGGTTGTAAAAATATGGCGGTTTGAAATTGGATGAATCGTTTTGAATCATCCTGTATGACTTCTTTCTTGAAATATTATGACTTTATTCTCTAAGTCTACTATTTATATTAACAGTGGCCCTAATTCGCCATCGTATCAGATTCAGCTGGGTATTAACTACAAAAAAAACTGACCCGCTGCCTCCTACTGTGTTAAATTGGTCAAACGAATCATCAGTTCCTAAACATTGTTTTAGAAAACCTTTACGAGAAGAAAGAGAGCTGCAAGGATCTTCATGACAAACACTCAAAGCCTCCGGAGGCCTTAGTTATGCTACATTGACACAGTGATTCATAAAAAGGGACACACCACCAACCTCACCCAGTCCAAAACCCGCCATTACTGTAAACTAGATCACAAGACCAAGACCAATGAGAAATGCTATCAGGAGGTTAAAAATAAACTGAAGATGCTACGGCCTTTCATGGCTAACAGTCAGAGTGATCACGGGGCAACAGAAATAAAGGCAACCCCACATTTATCCATGCAGTACTGCATGAAGGAAACTAGTCATCAGTTCCATCTACTTCAAACCATGTTTTGCAGACAAACTTCATCAGGAAACATTAGAAACCTGACGAACAGGTTTGTGTTTTTTCCAAAGAAATGATTTTCAGTGGTTTAAGCTAAACAAGGAACAGCACATTCGGGATGTTAATCAGATATATAGACTGGGAAAGTTGATTTTGATATGTTTTCGGGTGGAAAACCTAAGAAGGTCGCAATTCAGAAATGAACAAAAAGCAAATAGAAGTGAAAGAGGCAAACACTTTTTAAACAACCTCCATAGGCACAATGAAAGATAAACAGGTGAGCAGGATGCAATAAATATTACCCTCTGAGCAAATGTTTAAAGATCCTACCCTGAGTCCACACACTGCATGCTTGCACATATAAGTTAAGATTAAGCAGGAGGGAGAAACGACGGCCTACCTTGTTGCTGTCGGTGAAGCCCAGTCTATAGCCATGTTCAAACTGCACATCTTTCACCACGTCTCTCTTCTGTTCCTCATCTGTTCCTGCATCTCTATTTGGGTAAAACTCCAGCCTTGTGGCCACTGGAAGGTTGTCTGCAATACTGATCACAGACATCATTCAGTCAGAGACCCTACTTTTAACATGATGGAGAAACTTCTGTCAAGTGGTGAATAAAATCAGGTCTAAAACTTATTGCTGTTGTCGGAACAAAACCTTGTGTCTCCAAAATAATAACTTTCTTTCTTTCTTTCTTTCATTCATTCATTCATCATTAACTGCTTAATCCCGATAGTGTTGTGGTAGCAGCTGGGAAAGCAGCGAATCCCAGATGACCCTATCCCCCCGCAACTTCCACTAGCTAACTACGGGGGGACTCCAAACCGCTCCCAGGCCAACTTGGAGACATAATCCCTCCAGTGGGTCTGGAAGGCGCCCAGGGGGCATCCTGATCAGGATGCCCGAACCACCTCAACTGGCTCCTCTCAATGCGGAGGGATAACTTTACAGGAGAAGGAAAAAAAAAACATACTCTACTTTTAATGTAAGTCAATGGAACCAGACTTTTTTCCCCCCCAAGTCATTTTGGGTCATTTCTTTTGGTCCATTTATCGTGAAATTTACACACAATGTAAAGGGCAACAGGCATTTTTAAATTAGGTCAAAAACTGAAAAAACAACAAAAATGGAGATACGAGGTTTTGTTCCAACAGCAGCGATATTTTGCTTCACACTAGAGGTGGATAATATGGCAAAAAGATAAAAATACTCGGGGATATATGCACATAATGTTGAAACAGATACAATGAACCAGCAAGAAATGCTGGGATAAGCTGTACAGACAGTCAGCATTATTTTTTTTTAACATATAGCACACTACAACCAATTAAACAGGATAATTATGCTCCAAGTAGGATTTCACTGGGAATTCCCAACAATAAAGCAAACTTTAGATGGTTAAGGTGTGAAGTTCCAACTAAATCTCTATTTAATGAAACATGCAGCTCTCTGAATAGTGACAAACCCAAGAACCCCAAAAAAAAAGCTTGCTTTGGTGCAATTTCTTATGATAATGATACCATTTTGTCATATTGTCCACCTCTACCTCACATACACTGATCAGGCATAACATTAGTGACATAACTTCAGCTGTCAGGACCCCCATGGACCCTCACAGAGCAGGTAGTATTTGGGTGGTGGATCATTCTCAGCACTGCAGTAACACTGACGTGGTGGTGGTGTGTAAGTATGTGTTGTGCTGGTCTGAGTGGATCAGACACAGCAGTGTCCACTCACTGTCCACTCTATTAGACTCCTACCGTGTCTGTCCACCTTGTAGATGTAAAGTCAGAGTCGATAGCTCATCTGCTGCTGCACAGTTTGTGTTGGTCATCCTCTAATCCTTCATCAGTGGTCACAGGACGCTGCCCACAGGACGCTGTTGGCTGAACGTCTTTGGTGGGTGGACTATTCTCAGTCCAGCAGTGACACTGAGGTGTTTAAAAACTCCAGCAGCACTGCTGTGTCTGATCCACTCAGACCAGCACAACACACACTAGCACACCACCACCACGTCAGTGTTACTGCAGTGCTGAGAATGATCCACCACCCAAATAGTACCTGCTCTGTGAGGGTCCATGGGGGTCCTGACCACTGAAGAACAGGGTAAAAGGGGGCTAACAAAGTATCAGAGAAACAGATGGACTACAGTCTGTAACTGTAGAACTACAAAGTGCACCTATATAGTAAGTGGAGCTGATAAAATGGACAATGAGCGTAGAAACAAGGAGGTGGTCATAATGTTATGCCTGATCGGTGTAAATTAGAATATAATGATCAGGTGACAAAATCCTGTCAATCAGACAGGTTGACTGCAGTAAAGGAGCTCACAGGTGAACGTAGTACTCCTCCTGGATGCGCTCTGCGATCAGCTTGCTGTTAGCCACGCTGAGTTTAGTGGGTTTGTCTGGCTTTCCACACACCAGCTCGCACTTCTTGTCCTGGTTCATTCGTACCTGGTACAGCGTGTTAACGATACGGTCCCCTCGTAGAACCTCGCCTGGCCATGCATCACCATCATCATCCCAGCAAAGGAAGAAAAGTCAAAACTGTGAGGACCAATTCTTTTACAACACACATTCCTTTGTTATAAGACTTTTAAAGCAGCTTACAATTAATATGCAAACCGTTATGAAAATGCACGATGCAGGTAGTTTACCTAGGTTCTCTGCCTTGTACACAACGTTCGTGGGCTGACAGAAAGGAAGAGAGTAGTACTCATATGGCAGCTGGGTCCTTGAACTGGTCAGTTTTACCGCCTACACATGACAAAAAGGCAAAAAAAGGTCCACTGTTTTGTTAAAACATGCTGTTTTAAGTCTCTGAAAGCAATGAGAATAGCTGTGGCTTAATACTAGTGTGTAAAATACGCTTCCAGTGATCTCACGTTTCGCGTGACGTCACACTGTACAGTCACCGCCACTTTGAGGACCGAATCAGTGAGTCACTGTGCCGCGCAATGCCTTCAATTTGAGAGACGAGAAACTACACAGACCTTTAATTCAGTGTTTTCACTCCAGGCTTGGAGCCGCTGCACTGTATAGTTTAGTGTTTCTCTCTGCTGTTCACCTCGTTCAGTTCAAGAAGGGATTAATTAGCTAATAATATCAGGTATTTTAACCAGGAAACCACAGTTATGCAGTGCAGGGGTTTCAGGACTGGAGCTGAACTCTGAACTAACTGAACTAGCAAACTTACAGAATCACGTCTGTCGAAACACGATGTCGTTTTCCGACCCACGACGTTCAGTCTGATAATTAACGCTTATGTTTCTCCATTCAAACGTCATTTAAATCAGAAACAGAGAGTAAAGTTATACTGGCTGTCTGCAGCTCCGTTAGGGGGCGACTGTTTATCTCTCGGCTGTTAACATCAGCTAAAGTTATCTAAAGGCCAGCATTGTTCACATCTGTGTTAATTAGCTGATGTCGTTACCCTCCTATGATGACCGAGTGTTTTCTCCTCTTTATGCAACACCATGGGATCCTTTACCCACCCTGACGTGAAGAGCCGGTGGGCTTCTGTGCTTTTAAATGCTTCGAGAGACTCAGAATAGGGAGAGGGGCTGAGTATGAGATCAATATAAACGTCAGGAAAACACAAGTTTGCCAGTTTTCCACCAGTTTAAGTGGGATCAGGAGTTCAGGGGGAAATTGTATAAAGATCTCAGCCTGTTTTATCAACTTTGTCGAGGTCACGTTTTTTCTGTTCCAAAGTAAGGAGAGTAATTTAATCTTTCACCTCTAGTTACGTTCAGGTGAAGCAGCAAAACCACAAATTCGGTCCCAAATATTTCGGCCACTACAGAAAAATCATGTGACTGTAACCCTGAAATTGGTTTAGGGAGACTCCAAATGAAATGAATCCTTAGCCATATCCAAAGCCCCAGGCTACATGAGTTAAGTGCTGATCTCAAGTAAGAATCTTATACATTTGCCACACCTTGATCTCAACAGGGTCGTCCTGATGAAAATCCATAGGTGCTACACCAGGCACGTAGAAGGGCTTGACCAAAGGCAGTGCGGAGAGCAGCAGCAAGACCCACGTCTCCTGCAGAACAAACATAAAGCCACATAACAGTTACAGATTGATTCAGAGATTATAGTAATTACACAAGACCAGAGGTGTCAAACTCAACCCCTAAAATGGCCATATTAAAAAAGCTCAACAAATACATGGGCCAGAGAACGTTTACATTTTAATACCGCAAAAAGTCAACAGCAAAATATAGCCACTTGTAGTAAAACCTTCAAATGTTACATGTGATTATGTGATATACTGACTACATTGGCTACAGATAACGGCTAAAGCTCTTTAAATGTCCCCAGGATGTATGTCTCTTTTAAACCTGCCTGTGCGCTTCATCTTCACACCTGACATCTTATGTTTGCTGAAAGCTCATTAATTCTTGGGATCAGTTTCTGAGCTGCTGAGTGTTTATAGTGTTTATGTTGGTTGAAGCTGGTTTGTTTGGTGATATAACATGTAGAATTGGGTAAACACTGCCGTCCCATTGACTGTTGTTGGGGGGGGTGTCCGCGCAAATTACGTCGCAGTGCATGCTGGGGACTGTAGTGCAGCTCACTGTGAAGTGGGCTAATATTAATAGAAAATAACCTTTTCAACTCCTCGAGACCACCGGTGGTTCCAAAACGCACTTCGTCATATTCTTCATAACCTTCATATTTTATAAGCTACATTCTAAAGGTGGGGGTCGTATGAGAGCTGTAACTGTCTTCTTTCCAGTCAAATAGATGGGTGATGTCATTTTAAACCCTTATAATAAAAGAAGCTGAACTCACAATTTTTTTTCTACTGAAAGTCGACCCATTTTTCCACAAATCTGGGCTATAAACTATAAACAGATGGCGTCTCTTCAGTGATCTGCTCTGTAAAAATTATTTTTATAAAATAATACAAAGAGCGTCTAAGATTTTTGGCTTTCAGCAGTAAATTGTAAGCATATAGCAATATGTGTGATCATAAAACACATGTTCTGTTAATTCAAGGGGAACTTTCACAAAAAATAAAAAAAATAAAATAAAATAAAAATGTACATTTATTTCACACAGTTACTGAATAATTTGCCTTGCCGGTCATGTAAATTCAGATGGACAAACCAAAATATACCCTGGTGAATAAGAGGTTAAGGGGCTGGATTGGATTGTGCCATGGGCCTGATCTGGCCCACTGGCCAACTTTAAAGAACACTGATCTTAACAATTTTTGTCCAAGCTGACAAAGAATGACCACAAAAGGTTGGCACAAGGAGAAATGGAGGAACTGATAAGTAGTTTAAGCTTATGAAATCTAAATCCAGAAAGTCAGCTAGTTCTAATGAGACACTTTGAAGAAATCTGTTCAAGTTGAGTCAGTCTGTAACACGTAAATGTCAAAATCTAAACAAAACAAAGGCACTGGGACAACATTAGTAAACATGACAGAGATGTGGGACATTAGGAAACACAGCACATTAAGAAGAAGAGCAGACAAACTTCAGTAAAATTTCTTGTGGGGTAGTCAGTTATACAGTCCAATAATCCTGCATTTAAAATACTATGGTTTACATAGAGCTGGGCGAACTGGCAAAACATAACATGAAAAATTAAAACCATGTAATACCAGTTGTGATGGGTCACAAATGTTTCTGATAACAGATACGTTAGAACAAAGCGGTGCCACATTTAACTGTATTCAGCATTTTACACACTATGCTGCACTAAATCCAATTAAATAGCACTCAAATTCAGCTCACTTTTAATCAAAACACCAGTGGCGGACAGTAATGAAGTAAATATAATGTAATACTGTAGTTTTTTCGTGTATCTGTACTTTACTGAAGTATTTCCATTTTGGGTGACTTTTTACTTTCACTCCACTACATTTCAAAGTCAAATATCTCACTTTTTACTCCACTACATTATGCAAAATCTGTCGTTCCTTTTGGTTTATGTGTGTATAAAAATGCAACATATCAAAATGAAAGAAGCGCAAAGCAACAACACCAATCAGGGCACAGCGGTCACTTTGTTTTGAGCTTGTTTTGACCTGTTGGTCATACCGACCCAGTGCAGCACACAGTTCAACGTCAGTGCAGCAGCGTAAGATTTTGGGAGAGTCTATTCAACATAAATGATGAACTAACCTAACTTTGTGTAAATAGACCACAATATAGAAATATGTACACATATGCAGTTGTGACTGACGTGTCTTTTTTCTGAATTTATACAAACACATTTCATTTTATAGTAAATTAGTTTTGTCTAGTTTATGTTTATGAACAGAGACCTACAGATGCAGTTTAGTAAAGGAAACTCATTTGTGAATCTGAGTTTAAAGTTTTTATTCAACTTAAACTTGTAACTAAGTTCAAATAAATCTTAAACTGAAACTTTGCTTGTTCAAAAGTGATTTCAGAGCCACTCAGTTCTACCTGATGGAAACGGTTTGCCTTCAGTGTTTTGTGCTTATGATCATTTTAATAGACATCAGCGTCACTAATTAATGACATTCTATTAAAAGACTGGTTTACCAAGAGAGACACTGGAGTATTTTCACCTAAAATGAGTTAATGAAGCAGAGACTTGTTATAAAAATGATAATAGGACATCAGAGTCATAATTAATATTTTAGTACTTTCACTTTCGATACTTAAGTACATTTGAAGGCAAATACTTTTGTACTTTTACTCAAGTGGAGGTCTAAAGGGAGGAACTTCTACTTTTACTGGAGTAATACTGTACCTTGGGTCTCTCTACTTTAACTCAAGTAGCGTTACATGGTTTGTGTACTTCGTTCACCACTGCTAATGATCCACGACATGCTCAGAAAAGCATATTATGCAGTAAGTTCACAGAAATTCTCGTGAAAGTCTTGTGTCCAGACCCATTTACTGCTTAACACGAAACTGTGCATCATATTAACTGTGAATGGCAACCCAACAAGCAGGACTGTCACTGTTTTGACTATTCCTGAAGCGACATTAACCTCTCAGGACTGGGACAAAGAAAGCCGTCGCCTGTTTCCCCCTCAGATATCACTTCAAAACATCATTAGACTGTGAAGGAAACTTAACTATCCAGCCTTTCCACACCTACTGACTGCTGACCGGGCTGGCTAAGCTAACGCTAGAGGAGGAAGAGCTAACAGGCTAAGCTAGCTCATCATTATCGGTCGTTAAACCAGCTCACTTACACGACTGCACTCATTCAGACGTGCGATACAGAGAGATAAACCCCTCCACACAGCCGAACGACACCGCGCCGTGTCCTCAAAATCGGAGCCGCCCGAATTTCAACAGACCCTATTTTATATTTCAAAACACAGTTATCGTTTCAACTCACCATCGCGGCCGCCATCTTGAATACACGTGTCATTCCAGACGTCACAGGAAATGTGCGCGCGCTAGCGCCCGCGAGCAGCATCAAAGAGGATCTAAAAGCTCTGCCGGCGCACGAGGGTTTTACCTGTGGCGTTTCCACCTAAATAGTACGGAGCCCCGCTGGTGACATTCTGTATAAATGAAAATAATGTGTGGCCACGACTTAGTAAGGTACGTACGGAGCCCCGCTGGTGACATCCTGTATAAATAAAAATAATGCGTGGCCACGACTTAGTAAGGTGTGGGCATGAGATGATTAAGTCGTGGCCACGACTTAGTAAAGCATGGGAACGAGATCCTAATGCGTGGCCTTGACTTAGTAAGCCGTGATCTCGTTCCCACGCCTTACTAAGTCGTGGCCACGCATTAGGATCTCGTTCCCACGCGTTAATAAGGCGTGGCCACGCATTATTTTTATTTATACAGGATGTCACCAGCGGGGCTCCGTAGGTAAGGCGTGGGATTAAAATGATTAAGTAGTGGCCATGACCTAGTAAAGCGTGGGGACGAGATCCTTATGCGTGGCCACGATTTGGTAAGCCGTGATCTCGTTCTCACGCCATAGCCACGACTTAGTCGTCTCGTTCCCACGCGTTAAGAAGGCGTGGCCACGCATTATTTTTATTTATATAGGATGTCATCAGCAGGGCTCTACGGTACGAAGCCCCGCTGGTGACATTCTGTATAAATAAAAATAATGTGTTAGTAAAGCGTGGGAATGAGATCCTAATGCGTGGCCACGACTAAGTAAGCCGTGATCTAGTTCCCTCGCCTACAGAGCAGCTCTAGTAGCTGTTAATGAAGCAGTGTTAATGGAAGATTTCAACCACTATCCCTTGTGAACTCAGTTCCAAGGGTTTAGGGTGACACTCGAAAACAAGGGGTAGGGGTAAAAAAAACAAATTGGATTGGGCTTTAGTGTGTGTTGTGCTGATACGAGTGGATCAGACACAGCAGTGCTGCTGGAGTTTAGTCCAGCAACCAAAAATATCCAGCCAACAGCGTCCTGTGGGCAGCGTCCTGTGACCACTGATGAAGGACTAGAGGATGACCAACACAAACTGTGCAGCAGATGAGCTATCGTCTCTGACTTTACATCTACAAGGTGGACCGACAAGGTAGGAGTGTCTAATAGAGTGGACAGTGAGTGGACAGATTGTTTAAAAACTCCAGCAGCACTGCTGTGTCTGATCCACTCAGACCAGCGCAACACACACTAACACACCACCACCACGTCAGTGTCACTGCAGTGCTGAGAATGATCCACCACTCAAATAGTACCTGCTCTGTGAGGGTCCATGGGGGTCCTGACCACTGAAGAACAGGGTAAAAGGGGGTAACAAAGTATGTAGAGAAACAGATGGACTACAGTCTGTAACTGTAGAACTACAAAGTGCACCTATATAGTAAGTGGAGCTGATAAAATGGACAATGAGTGTAGAAACAAGGAGGCGGTCATAATGTTATGTCTGATCGGTGTATAGTGAGGACAATTAATGATGTCTTCCGCGTTTGTCAGACGCTAGAGGGCGCTCCAGAATGAGTCCAAATGAATGGGTTAATGTGGAGCTTTTTGTGCATCTCCTGAACAGAACAGCATAAAACATAAAAGCAGACTTTTAGCAGTCTGCAGTCTCTCCACAAGGGCGAGCTATTAGCAAGAAAATGCTGTGCTAATTGTTTTTAGAAATCAGACAGGCCAGGTGAAAAGTTGTGTTTTGTTATTATAGGTGGATATTTGTGTACATGTAAAAGTTAAAAAAAGGCAGAAAATACTACTATTACTACTACTACTATTAATATTAATAGTATAATAATTTTGTAGGTAGTTTGACCAGAGGAGGATGGGTCCCTCCTTGTGAGCCTTGGTTCCTCCCAAGGTTTCTTCCTCAGCTCTGAGGGAGTTTTTCCTTGCCACTGTCGCCCCTGGCTTGCTCACCTGGAGGATTTACATTTCATGTTAAAACTTTGTTTTTAATGGATTTCTGTGAAGCTGCTTTGTGACAACATCAGTTGTAAAAAGCGGTATACAAATAAATTTGACTTGGCTTGACTAGACTCAGGCCACAGGCTCTGCATTCTTAGTGGCCAACATAGAGGCTAGAGGCACCAAACAGTAGTCATGTCGACTTCAGAGGTCTTAATGAGCTTAAATGAGCAAATATAATGGTAAAACATTACGTGTTGGAAGTTGGTTGGGGGGAGTAATCTCACATTGCCTATGGTCTCAGTTTTCTTCTTACACAATTTTATTGCAAAAACACTGATCTGTATCTACTGTACTGTAATTAGATTTCTAAAATAATCTATTTACATCTCTGTTTTCATCTTATGTTGACGTGGATTACATGGTGTAAGAAGAAAAAGAAGAAGAAGAGGCTGTTTCTTTTCAGCTACAGTGGGCCCCAAAAGTATTTGGACATTTGAGCCATTGAAGTTCATTTTGTTAGGAACCAAAATAAACCGACTATCTATTTTAACCCTTGTGTGGTGTTCAGGTCTGTGGGACCCATTTTCAATGTTTACCAAAAGAAAAAAAATGATGTTATTTATAATCATTTCAACCTCAGATTCTTGGCCTTTGCTCATTTTCTGTGAAGAACATATAAAATAGCACATTTTCAGTGACTTCACACTTTGGAGTCATTCTGATTCAAGTCCACAACATTCAAAGCAGCGTCATAAAGGAAAGAAAATCTGCTAAAACATGTCTTTCAGTCTTAAATATCATTGCAAAGAATGTTTCTCCAAAATGGAAACATACAGAGAAGGCAAAAACATTCTTAACTTTTAATGCAAGTTCATTTTTTTGCAAGTTATTTTGGAGCATTTCCATTGGTCCATTCACTGTGAAATGTTCACACAGTGTAAAGCACAGCTGCTGTCCTCAAATGAAGTAGAAAAATAAAAGTTGTAAAAATGGAGACGGATGTTTTGTTGTGACTATACATTAATTCAAAGTTCATTATTAACACAGTCTATAAATCTTTAAGTGAAAAAAGATGTTTTCATTTGAACATTTTTTAGATATGGGTGTTTGTAAACTGGTAATTCTACAGAAACATCCATTTTTGTGTCCCTAGCGTTTATGGATATATTACACTTAAAAACTAAAAAAAATAAAACAATAAGTTATTTTAACAGTTACACCTTCTTGAGCCTCAATTTAGCAATATTGGTTTTTAAATCAATCATATAGAATTCCAAGCACCACAGAAGAGCTCGTCCTCACAGTCATGTGTAAAGGGTCAGTGCCATATTTTGAAGAAAAAAACATGTTTTTCTGCAATTTTAACTGCAACAATCTATACATGACTATGGAATACATGATTTAAATGACATAAAGAAAACAAATGGCAAATAAACATTATAAAATATATAATGAAAGTTGTGGTCCCCAGCAGTCATGTCACTGGTGTTACTGCGTAACAAAAAATATCTTATTTTGAAATAAAAGTCACATTGATGACATCACTTTACTTCCTTTTACCTGTTTTCTGAGGATCTATGAAGAAAAGCACATGGTGAGTCCACTGTGTCTTTCAGTTATCAGAGATTTTCTCATTCAGCTCATGATTTCATATGAAGCTTTTAGCTGAAGTCACTGGTGTGACCGACTTTATTCTGAGGTAACAGTGAAAAAATAGAATACAAATGGATTAAATTCCATATTTTAGTGGATATTCTATGATTGACAACATGTGGTTTGATGCTCTGTAGCAGCCATTTAGTAAAATGCATTTTTCATTAAAAATGTCTCTGGTGTTCCCTTTCTTATGTGTAACACCAATGAGGATCAGTAACACCAGTGACTCCTATGGAGAGATAGAAAGGTGAACGTTTCTGTAGAATGACCCAAACACTATTGAAGATGGTTTGAATATTACAAAATAAAAGTCATTTTAGCGGCATCAACCTATCAATTTTATTTAAAAATATAATAATTTCATTTTGTCATAGAGCTTCCACCCATCACACTAGCCTATTTAGCCATGAACATCATATTAAGTACACTTACTTAATTTAAAGGGAAATCGTACAGATTTTTAAAACTTCTTTATCATTCAGTAATTGATAAGCAAAGACATTCACAGTGGTTTGATCTAAAATTGTACATTGATGAGAAACTTACTGACTTCTCTGATTTCACTACAGATTTCTCTACACTGTGGTTCCTATCAGAGTGGTAAGAGGAACCAGGGGTTGTGATATTTACAACACAAATACAGCCATTTTACTTACCATCCAAAAGCACCAGTGAATCTACTTGTTTGGAGTTTAATATGTATGTAAAGTTGATAATGGTAAAATCGAAAATCCACAGTTTTTTAACTATTTAGTCTTGCAACACTCTGTATGTAGTTCTTTACCATAAATGTATTAAAAAAATATATGCTTTAGGCCAAAAACCCTCTTTGAAAAGTATCGTGAAACAATGTCTCAGGCATCAGGCGGCATTCATAACTATTTTAATGAATAACTTTCTGTGAGTGAGCTTTTATAGGCATTAAAATCTTCCCCCTTATTTTTTCAGACGCTGTAAATTTTGCTTTGATTAAACATTGGTGGTTTTCTCCTTCCTTGACAGGGCCTGTCAAAAACAGTAAATCCACCCTGTCAGAAGAAAATGAGGAAAACAAATGTTTTAATGAAAATTTTGTGATGTTCGCAGAAAAGGAAAAAAAAAAGTTGAAGAGCTGACGGTAGGGGTGAGAAAACTGAGAAATTCTATTGTTTTTTGAAAAATATATGCCCATTCTGAACTTGATGCCAACAACATGTTCCAAAAAAGTTGGGACGGGGGCCTGTTTACCACTGTGTTTCATCACCTCTTCTTTAACAACACTCTGTAAGTGTTTGGGAACTGAGGAGACACTGCTGTAGTTTTGAAAGTGAAATGTTTCCCTTTATCGTTTCATACAGGATTTCAGCTGCTCAACAATTTAGGGTCTCCTTTGTCATATTTTTCATTTCATATCCATGTAAATGTTTTCAGTGGTGACAGGTCTGGACTGCAGGCAGGCCAGTT